GCTATGACCGTCGGCGCGGCTTTGTTGGAAAAAAATTTCTTGGACTCGTCGCTTGCCACTAGAGCCCAAGAGCACGACTATGAATAGAGCGAGAGCATTGGCAGAGTATGGCCGCTGCCAGATAGATTACTTTGCACCGAGGTTTCACCCGACAAGACTATGGCGTGGGGCTCTCTTTCGAAGGGTGCGTACAAGTGACGCGGTAATATTACGGCAACGACATGCGGCTGCACGTACGTACGTATCCCAGCTGCATGGCCCGTGGAGACATAGCGTAGTGAGTGTACTTACTGTTACGCTGGCCTGGAGGGAGGCGTCCATGTACCGGCTGTAGTGGCAATGTTGAGGCCTATCGATACACACAGCCCTCACCCAAGCTTGGTGTTAGCTAGAAGGGATCCACGCCAGGGATAGCCGATGCTCGGGTCCGCCGTCCTGTCTGGCACAGCCTAGGGGCCGGCAAACAACTCTGTTGCACGGCGTAGGCACAACAGGCAGCTCGCGATGAAGCAACGGCCTCAAGGTTTGCTCAGTGTCGCCATGAAACCGACGGATAACGGGATATTGTGTGGCCAGGCCTATTCGGTGATTCGCTGTGGCGAGTGCTAGCGGAGTTTCATATCCCGGTCTGTGGCTTTCCCGCTAGACCATCCCTGCATGCCTGGTGTCAGTCTAACGCCTCGACTCCAGCAGACGAGTTGCTCCTTGCTATTTCTAACTTTCTTTACTCGCTCTTTTCTCTCCTCCCCCTTCGCCGCTGTCGTTGTGCCCTCAAAGGCTTTTTCACTCGTTCGCCTGTTTCTTTTTTCCTTTTCTTCTTTACCCTACCCACACATTGACGGCAGGCCTTCGTCGAATTGCTGTCCCTACCTCATCTCTCCACTATAGCCATCGCTCCACAAATTCGCCTAGTCAAAGGTGCTTGACGCACATACTTGACAGGCCAGGCGTCTCTGGGTACATCCCCGTGCCCTCCAATTACGCGGCCTGCATTCATATTCACGCCTTGCCCGCGTCTTGTCGGCAAACCGACTTGCCCCCCAACTAACCCCCCCACCGAATCTCCTCTATGACAAGTAAGCGATCCTCAAGGTCTTTCAGACTCTCCAATCAAGGCTTTCAGCCCATAAACAACGCTGCCATGGACAACCACGCAACAAACATACCTCTCGAGACTGTCGTCAGTCACACGCCTTCGCACTCGCCTTCCAATGCCCACAATGAAAAGGCCGAGAGGCCACACATGTTCACCCGCGGCCGCAGAAAGTTGGCTGCCATAGATGAGAGGACCGGTGCGCCCATACCTCCTCGTGACCAGGAAGAAGATACTGCTCTCAACCGCATGGGCAGGCTCTACAATAAGATCTTGAACTGGAGTATCGTCACGCGCTACATGGTCTATGTCGCACCGGTTGCGCTCCTATTGGCCATTCCCATTATCCTTTCGCAAACTGGTACCATCACAGGTTCGATTAGCGGCACAAACCAGAAGAAGTTCTGGATCTGGATTGAGATCATCTGGCTGAGTTTCTGGGTCATGAAGATTGTCGCCCACTTCATTCCTAACATTTTTGAATTTTTGGTTGGAGTTGTCAGTCCTGGTGTCAAGAAGTACGTCAAGCTGCTGAGAGCTGTGGAAAAGTCTTTGTCCTTCGTCCTATGGATGGTTGTCAACCAAGCCACGTTCCCCGCTGTAAGTGTCTCATCTTTATATCAGTACAAAATGCCACGGCTAACTTTACATAGCTCGTTCGACCCGTCCCTGGCAGAACTGGTGACAGGTATCCATCTTGGCTTGACCCCATGCAGTCGGTTCTACTTGCACTCCTTGTCTGCACCATCATCATCTTCGGCGAACGTGTCTTCATCCAACTCATCAGTATCAGCTACCACCGCAAGCAGTTTGATGATAAGATCAAGGAGTCAAAGCGCAACATCTACCTTCTTGGTGTACTCTACGACACTTCGCGAAGCTTGTTCCCTGCCTACTGCAACGAGTTTGCTGAGGAAGACTATATCATCCAGGACACTATTCTCGATCTCGGACTATCCAGCAAAAAGGGAACCTTCAAGCACGGTCGCTCAGGCAGCCGCACCCCTCTGCGCCTCATCCAGGAAGTTGGTCGAGATGCCGGCCGCCTTGGTGATAAGATCACTTCAGTCTTCGGTACTATTGCCTCAGAGATCACTGGCAAGAAGGTGTTCGATACCAACTCAGCACACTCAATTGTCATTACCGCCCTCGAGAGGCACAAGAGTGCCGAGGCGCTTGCCAAGCGTATCTGGATGTCTTTGGTTGTCGAAGGCAAAAACGAGCTTTACCTAGAGGACCTTATCGAAGTAATGGGAGCTAATCGCCAGGAAGAAGCTGAGGAATGCTTTGCTTCAATTGACCGCGACGGAAACGGCGACATCAGTTTGGAGGAGATGATCCTTACCGTGACCGACTTCGCCAGGCAACGCAAGTCTATCAGCTCCAGCATGCACGATGTTGACCAGGCAATCAACGCCCTGGATGGCCTAGTCATGACCATTGCCTCAATCATCTGTCTCTTCGTCTTCATTGCCTTCCTTGCCCCAGGTTTCCGCGCTACTCTAGCTACGTCGGCTACTGCTCTCCTTTCCCTGTCTTTCGTATTTGCTGCTACTGCCCAGGAAGTTCTCGGTTCCTGCATTTTCCTTTTCGTCAAGCACCCGTACGATATTGGCGATCGTGTTGATATCACTGCAACAGAGCTGACTGTCGAACACATTCAGCTGCTCTACACGGTCTTCAAGCGCGTTAGCAACGGCAAAACTGTCCAGATCCCCAACATCGTTCTGAACGGATTATGGGTAGAGAACATCACCCGAAGCAAGGCTATGCGAGAACAGGTCTCTGTCTTCTGCGATTTTGCCACATCCTTTGAGGATATCAACCTGCTCAAGCTGGAAATGCTCAAATTCGTTCGGGAACCAGCTAACGCTCGCGAATTCCACCCTGATATTGATATTGAGGTTGTCAGCATTGCTGAAATGAACAAGTTGGAACTTCTCGTCGAAATCAGGCACAAGAGTAACTGGTCCAACGAATCCCTTCGTGCCGCTCGCCGATCCAAGTTCATGTGCGCATTGGTCGTTGCTCTCCGCAAAGTTCCTATCAATGGCCCAGGTGGTGGAGATGCTACTCTTGGTTCTCAGGATAAGCCCACTTGGTCTGTCGCTGTTCCCCCGGCCGAAGCTGTTGCTGCGTATCAAAAGTACAAGGACAGCGCTGACGCAAGCCGTATGCATCCTCTCAACCCACCCAAGGACGAGAATACTGGTGCGTCTACAGGAGTTGATTACCTTGGTGTTGGTGGTGAAAGCCACGCCATTTCTGCACTCAACAACCGTAGGCCCGGCCATGACGCAGTCCGAGATGACACTTGGGAGGCGCGTGGCGACGATGCTAGTACTATCGGTCGTCCAAGCATGGACCAGAGGCCAGACCTTGATGAAGTCCGTGGTTTGCTGCATAAGGTCAGCTCTTCTGGAAAACGCAAGGGTGGCGCAACCTTGTCTCCATACGGTTCACGCCTCTCTGTAGACAGTACCCGTCATAACCTACCACCACCTCTACCACTCCAAGTGGTACCATCTACCAGCCAAGGCTCATTCGCACCACCGCCATCAGCACCTTCAACAAGGCCTCCTCGTAGCACAGCGCCCGGCTCACCGAGCTCAATCTCTACGGGCCAGGTAGAAGAGTTTTCGTATCAAACCATGGTACCACCTCCTCGCTCAAGGAGCCGACCGCGTGCACCGCAAGTAGAGGAGGATGAGGGCGAGAGGCAATGGGGGGCTGGGTCTAATAACCCATACGCACAACAAGGGCCATCTAAGCGCGAGTAATGACACCAGCTGAGATGTTGTGGTGGCGTTGTTCCCCCTTGTTCGGCAAAAGGAAATAAAAACAGATCTGTCCATGTAGGGACGATGGGGTGCGCATTTTCTTCTTCTTTGTGTAATGTATAGAAAAATTGGGGGAGATGTATAGCATAGTGTCGGTGACTCGTCCAGAGGACGTTCGTCTCGCACTTCTGGCGTTTTTTTGTTCTTCCACATCTTACTCGCCACCATCCCCAATACGATGTAGCGAATTAGAAATCATCCACCATTTTGGGTTATTATTACAAGTGTCTCTCGTATCGCGAAACTGACCGTTCTCTTCCACATATTAGTCTGCCGTGTCTTTTTTCCTTTCTTCTCGAGTACGAATGCGAAGTTGTGTCACGTGCACCATTACCTTGTACGAAACCATAAGACGCCGTATTATAGTAATAAAAGGGGAAGCAAAGGTCATTACCATCCTTGCCTTCCTTCCCTTCGCTTTCCCGCTCCTTGTGTTTATTTTTAGACGAGACAAAAACAACGACAATCACCCACCGGGAGAAAAGCATTTCCACCAATCTTTGTTTGGATTTCATTTAAAAATTATACTACGTGCAAAGTAAAAGTTATTTGCGACTTAATTACGACCGCGTAACGTATGAGTTGGCGAAGATGAGAAATGATGTAATGTGACAATCGTAAACAGAAGAAAAATCTATTCTAGAAGGGTGTGTTTTCTTGGCAAACAGGGAAAGATGGTGGTGATGCGCTGGAAGGGAAGAAAAAAAAAAGGAGCGGACCAGAAGCCGCGGGAGGGAGGGGAGGGAGAGAGGACCGTATGCTCGAAAATCGTAAGCCGCTTTTTGGGGAGGAGGGGGATTAGGACGGCTGGCCGTTTTACAAACACCTTGGGGGGTGGGGGGCCCGCCACTTGCTTTTGAGATAGAGATAGAGAGTGAATGAAAGAGAGAAATAGATAGGAGAAATCTCAAAAAAAAGACACCCAGCTCGCTAAAGAATGCAAGACAAGAAACCGACATGACTGAAAAGAAAAAGGACAAAACACCGTATAATGTATGCAAAAGATGCGAAATCGACCGTGAAAAAAACCCCCCATACACACACACACACATACACACACATCAAAATCAACACACGACTCTACTCACCGCAAGCGGCTTCCCTGTGACACCCACCCTATTCCCCAACTCAAGATACATATCCCAGAGAAACTTGTCATCAATCCCCATCCTCCCTTGCACCTGCACCTCTTGCCCCGCACCAGCAGCACCAGCACCAGCAGCAGTAGCCACCACCACATCCCTGGGCAACCCCATTTTCAAATCCACATACTGCGGAATCGCCACGAGCAACTCCCTAAAAAACGCCTTGTGCACAAACGGCGTCTCCTTGCTGCCCCACTCGGTAAACTCGCATCGCGACCACTCGTAGTAGCGGGGATGCAGCGTGAGCACTACACGCAGGAACTGGAGTGAGGGGAAGGAAGAGAAGAAGGAGGACCAGTCGACGTAGCGGTTCATGCGTATGGCGTCTTTGAGTTGGAGCTCGATTTGGAGGCGTTTGATGCGGGAGAGGTCCCAGCCTGGGGGTGCGTCAAAGGTGGTTAAGGGTAGTTTGTCGAGGGTGATTGCGAAGACGTTTTTCGAGTACATGCAGTCTGTGGCTTCATCTGCGAGTTTTTGCGAGGTCCGGAGGAGGTCGACGTGGAGGATTGGGTCTGGATGAGTGGTTGTTGATGTGCTGTGTGGACATGTTGGGCGTTTTCCTTCCAGCAGTCTTTGCTGGTTGAGACGTTCTCTGGTTTTCCGCGCTTGGAGGCGTTTCTTGCGGTTTTTAAGAATGGTGGTTGCGTCGAGGATGGGGGCTGAGTGGTGGGGAGTTTGGCGGACAACTAGGTACGAGTAGATTTCGTCTCTGATTTCCTGAGGCAACTCCAAGAAGCGGAACGGTCCGGTGTGGTTTCTGCGAGGGCACCCATGTGGGTTTGTCGGGGGAGGCTGCTGTCTGTGGGATGGTGTAGTAAACTTTGGTCGTGGAGCGCATAATGTTTTCTCGTTCGATTCTGGTTTGACGGCGGTCTTGCCGCTAGCAGTAACGAGTTTGAACTCGTGGTGGCCCTTGACTGTCAGGAGAGTTGGTAGCAGCTCCTCGAGCTTGGAGCTCCCTCGTTGACGTCTTCGTAATGCCATGATGATTACAACCCAGTTGCATGAACAATCTGTTTGCATCAGCCGCATAGTTGGCGAGAATATTTCTTTAAGAGAATCTCCGGAGAGGGAAATTGCCTTCATCTTACATCTTCTGAATTCGGCGAGCGCGTGGGACCCTGGCTCCAGCGCTGAAGGATCGGAAGTTCCAGGCTGATGTAATGTCTGGAGGTGTTCGCACCATGTTCAGTAGGGCCTTTGTCCCGAGTTATGGGGTCAATCACGCAAGTGGGGGGGATCCATTTGCGGAAATTGAGCTCAAGGCTACTGAGTCGCGGCGTGAGATGCAACACCGATGGAGCATCTCGGCGTCTCTTTTTGATTACGATCGATCATCTACTAAACCCCCTCTGACTGACACGCGGGGGACTTTGGAAGCTTGTCCTCATTTGGGTAAGCAACAAAAAGAAAGAGATGGAGATGGGCAGAGCACGAGGACAAAACAAACTCTGTTAGCCTTGTCGGTGTGTAGCAAGCCAAGGACAGGGCCAGGTAACGCATGTGTGTGAGGTGTGGCTTAATAGCCGTTGTATAGGTTAGTGTTTCAGCCCCAAGAACATATTTAGGCATGCAGCAGAACGGTTAAGCGAAGAGCCTCTAATGGAGATGGTCAATCCCAGCGGCCTGGTTTCGTTCATGCAATGTTTAGATGATAGAAATTGTTGGTTGCACGCCCTGCTTGGCTGGCTAACCGTCCACGCCGACTTTGGCATGACGGAAATACTTCATGCCCACCCAGGCGACAACGACCCACACCCAGCTGGTGACAGCCGTACAGACAATCAAGGCGGGATAGTAGCCAGTAATGGGCAGGGTTGCGTCGTCTTCCAGATCGGGTGGTGCATACGGTGTCTCGCCCACATCCCACGCCCAGCTCCAGACGCCGAGGCAGGAGCCCATTCCTACAACAAAGACTATCCACGTCGCTATCAGCACGACCCAGCCCCACCATTCGGTCTCACTGTAATCCCACTCGTCGTCCGAGTCAATCTCGGCAGGTGTCACGAGCGCAGTAATCGATGTACGCCGGTTGCTGCGAGTCGAGCGACGGTGTGCGAGAGAGGCGACAGGGCCTTGGCTCGGCACCGCAAAAGAAGAGTAGTCGCTACTCGCGGCCAGAGGACGGTAAAAGGACATGACGTCGTCGTCGTCGGTGGTCGAGGCGTAGGGCGCCGCAGGGCTCGCTGCCATGGGCGAGATTGGCGATGCGAGTAATGGCGGAGAGGGAGGAGGCTCTAGAACGTCACGTGACGCACATGTGGGTTCGGCCGGGGAAGAGGGCAGTTGGACGGCGGGCACCCAGGCGGTGGTGTCGGCGGGCGACGAGTCGAGTAGCGGCTTGTCGAAAGTGGTGACAATGGAGGGTTTCGCTGCTTTGCGCAAGGAGCTGCTTCGTTCGCGCATCCGGGCCATGGCCGCCTTTCGCAGCGAGCCCTTTCTCTGGCGGCCGCCCTGGGTCTGGCGCAGTGCCTTTGCCATGGATGACCCCTTTACCGCGCCTTGGTCGTCTTGCCCATGTGTCCCCTCGCTGCTCTTGGGCGCTGAAGGCGACGATCCTGTAAGACCCTTTGACGACGACGACGAAGATGACCTCAGAAACCCGCCCAGAATGCCCCCCGATTTGGTGCGTTTGTGGCCAGACGCGTTGTCCTGGCCAGAGTTTACGTTGTGCGCATCCGCACCGTCTTCCATTTGCTTTGCTCGTTTCCGCAAGTGTTTGTTTGTTTGACTGACTGTCTGTCTGTCTGTTTGTTTGCCGGCTGCTTCCTCCTTTTGTTCTTTTTTGCTTCTGTCCTGTGCGAGCGTTGACGGGCACGGCACCGTGCTGGCTCTGTCAGAGTGTCATGTCTAGGTCTGGGCTGTCAGCAGCGCTCAACGGCAGCGCGTCATACACACTGTACCTGGCGTAGCGCCTCCCTGCATGGCATGCGGCCGTGGGTGGGCACGGATAGGCTGCAGGGGTACACTGACCATGAACCCCATGCGACGCTGCATGTGGAAGCACTCCCTCAATTTCCCCTCCACCTCCCCTCTGGGGTCTGACTGCGCTTCTTATCTTATTTTTCCGTACCATGCGCTTTCGCTAGCAGAGTCACTCATTACCGCAATCCGATTTTTCCGTAGTCATGGCTTCCAAACTGCCTCTACCAGCTCCACCGCGTACCCCGACGCCGCCTCCTGATGAGGACGCGCCCCAGCCCGTGGGTCTAGGATTCGAGGGCGATCTGTCTTCCAGGACGCTGGCCTCGACCGCAAACGGGCTGCTGTCGCCCATGTCGGCGACGTTCCCCTCGAAACAGTATGCCACGCTTGCGCCCGGCGACTCCATTTCGCAGAGGGCCTCCCCCGCCGTGCTCTACACACCAGCAAGCGCAACCTTTCCTTACACACCCGCGAGCGCTGCCAGCGGGGCCATGGACACGGATGGGCCCTCGTTGAGCGGATCGGAGAACCCCAATCCATTCAACTTTCAGTCTGTCACGTACCAACCAGGGCAGCCGCAGGCCAAAAGCAATGTGCAGCTCCCACCCCTGCCCGCAAAGCTTATACTAACATTCACAGGATGTTGGACGAAGACGAGGACACAAGTACAAGCACAGCAGTGTATCGCACCAGATATTTCTAGAACCCGCCCCGCGCGCGCCCCTCCAGCTCCCCGCCTCGCTGCCCATTCCGACGTTTAAAGAGTACCGGTCGTCCATGTCCAAGGACCAGAAGCTGCGCCTGGCATGGTGCTTTTGTCACTTGGTCGTAGCTGGGCTGGTTCAATGGGGCGCACACGAGTCCCTAGCCCTGACGGTTCTGTCCCGCCTGATATTCTACGATGCATTAGGCGCATTTTTGTGCGTGGCTGTAGACGTCGGAGCAAACTTTGAAGTGTGGAAGCGCTCGAGCATCCGTCACCCATTTGGCTTTGAGAGGCTGGAAGTCATCGCCGGGCTGGGCATGTCGGTTGGCCTACTGTTCATGGGACTCGACCTGATCTCTCACGGACTAACGCATGCACTCGAAAACGCTGGCGGACACCACGCGCATCATGCCGAGGGCCATGAGCGTGTTTCACCAGGTAGCATTGATCTTGCTGCGCTGAGCGGAATTGTGTCGACACTGGTGTCGGCTATTGTGCTCAAGAACCATGCCCGAATTGGGAAGGTGATGAGGCTGGGGGCGATTGCTAATCTGCCCTCGGTACTCAGCAACCCGTCGCACTTTTTGACGCTGTCGTGCTCGTCGCTGCTCCTTGTGCTGCCCCTGTTGAGCATACAAATGTATGTGTGGCTGGACCGGACACTTTCCTTTTCGGTTGCGTTTTCCATGGTAGCACTAGGGTGGATCCAGGGATGGACGCTGGGCAAGATGCTGCTCATGTCCTACTCGGGACCGGGGGTGTCGGAAGTGGTGCACGAGCTCGAGGCGGATCCTGCAATCCGGACGGTGGAGGAGGCAAAATTTTGGCAGGTGCACTACGGGTTGTGCCAGGCCAATCTGAAGGTGCGCGTCAGGAATATGGAGGAGATTGGGCGTCTCCGGGACCGTGTGGGCAGCCTGGTGCGGAACCGGTTGGGCGGCGGGTACGGGAGCGGCGGGCAGAAATGGGAGGTGTCGACCCAAATTACTCTGGAAAAGGACTGAATGCGCTGGGCGGCATTGCATCACGCTTAGGATGCGCAATACAATTTCTTGGGCGCCCCCCTGTGGCGAGTCACATGTGTGCCCGCCTGCAGTGTGCGTGTGCGTGTGCGTGTGTAGGTGTAGTAAGAAGCTGGTAGGCAGTAGTCTACAGCCGGCAGTCCGTAGCAGTCCGCCGCCCCGCCATTCGGGGATGCAGATGCATAGCAATAGTGTAGTTGGTTGGGTTGGTTTGGTGTACGAGTAGTCACTGCTCACTCCCTCACTCACTCCACCACACGACTACGTCGTTTTGCAGCGCCCATCTCACAGCCCCGAAAAAAAAGCTGCCGTCGGCGCGGCAGCAGGGCAGCCGAGGACATCATTGTACATACGGGGCTGCACCGCCTTTGTTTCTGCCGCCCGTGGGCTTGGGATGCGCCCGTTGCAAGAGGGCCCGAGGCGGTTGTTTGCCCGCCGCTCGGGGATACTAAGGCGGTGCTAGGGGCGTAGGTACATAGATGCGCGGTGGGCAGACAGGCATAGCGCATACAAGATACACAGGGCGGCGCACCGTAGGCTGTATCGACTGCAGCGCTGCACATGTGCATCCACTGCCCGCCAGCTGGCAACCCGTCTGCATTCTGCATCCCGTCGCCGCCTGACGCTGACGCCACCCCCTGCAACCGGTAGAGGGTTAGCGAGCAAAAAGCCCTGTGGGCGCTTGAGATCAACCGGCACCCTGTGCGCCCTCACCGCCGACGGCCTGCCCCGTGCGACTGGCCACTTTCTCTGATCAGGGTTGGGCTGCCTGCAGGTGCTTGCTGTTCGCTCGTCACGCCCACCGCAACTCTCCACACACCCGCGCTGGCTTTTGTGCGCCGCCTAAACACCTGCAACAGAGCCTGCCAAAGCGTGCAAGAGCCTGTGACCTGCGAGGCTGGCAGTTGGCAAGTGGCATAGTTGCCTCCAGGTCCATGGGAATGGGAATGGCCAGGCTTCGCGATGAGCGAAGCACACGATACCGCGACGATGGCGAATATTTGGACGACCGAGACCGCAAGCATCGCCGCAGACAAAAAGACGCAAAACACGACGACGAGCCACAAATGTCCGCCCGCGACAGAGAGAGGAGAGAGCGCCGCCGCGCTGAAGAGGTCCGGAGGCAGGCCGACGTCGACATTGAGGAATTGAGAGCTAGGAGAGAGTCGTACTACACGCGCAACGAGACAGAGCGCCGCCGGGAGCGAGAGCGAGAGCGGGAGCGAGAGCGGGATCGTGCCTCTCACGACAGCAGGAGAGAGCCCGTCAAAGACAAGTCGCGTAGCAGTAAAGAGGTCCGCCGAGATCCAACCCGGCGTTCGTCGAAAAAGAGAAATGTCATCCCCGAAGACGAGGACTTTGTCTTTGGCCGCCCAAAGTCGATGGGCCACGTCGAGGACATCACAGTGCGACGCCCGTCTGTCCGCAAAAGAAGTGAAGAGGGAGGGTCTTCCAACAGAACTGCTTACACGCCCGTGTCCGGTTCTGGATCCGCGTCCGTCCGCAGGGCTGAGGTCCCAAATTTGTCCAGGTCAGCATCTGTCCCCACTTGTACACGTAGCTCCCACTAATGAGAAGGCAGGAGCGCCTCTGTTCGTGAACCAAAAGCATCTACTACACCAGCAAGGCCGTCTGTGCGACGCACAAGCACTGCAAAGTCGCCTGCTCCACCCACACCGCTTACCAGGACACAGTCTGTCAAGGAGGCTGCCCGTCGCAGTACCGGGGGAATCCTGTCAAGCTTCTTCAAGCCCTCACTGTCGCGCAACACCTCCACGTCGGCGCACAAGGAACACCGTGACCACCGCGAAGCCCGAGAAGTCCAACGGTTAGTCGTCAATCCCATTACTGCGCTTCCAATGTACTAACTTGCCTCTCAGAGCCGACTGCTTGGTATGCATGAACGATGACATCCCTATCCACAAGACTGTCAAGCTTGCTTGTGGGCACCGCATGTGCTACTCCTGCCTGAAGCGACAATTCACCCTCTCTGTCAAGGATCCCCAGCACATGCCGCCACGATGCTGCACATCAGAGCACATTCCCTTGAAGTATGCCGACCGACTGTTCGACGACAAGTTCAAGGTACTATGGAACAAAAAGTTCCAAGAGTACACCACCAGCAACCGCCTGTACTGCCCCACAAAGGGATGTGGCCAATGGATCAAGCCATCCAAAGTCAAGATGGATCCAACATATGGTCGCAAGTATGCACGATGTAGCTCATGCAACACAAAGGTCTGCGTACTATGCAACGCCAAGTTCCACACCAAGCGCGAATGCCCCAAGGACGAAGAGACTAATCGTCTGGTTGAGATGGCCAAGGAGCAGGGCTGGCAACGATGCTACAGCTGCAAGGCTGTAGTAGAGCTCAAGGAAGGTTGCAATCACATGACCTGGTAAGTCCAAAGCATCCAACCTTCTTCACAACAACAATGTCTAACGATTCAACAGTCGCTGCACGGCTCAATTCTGCATGGTCTGTGCTGCTCCCTGGAAGACCTGCAACTGCCCTTGGTTCAACTACCAACACATCCCGGATGATGATCGCCTGAATGACATGCGCGTGCCATACGCAAACCCCCGTTACCCCGACGTTGAGGTTATTGAAATCGCCGAAGCTACCCCACCGCTAGCACGCCGCCCAAGCATCCGCCCCCGTGAACGCCCCGAACGAGAACGCGACTACGACCGCGCCGAACGAGTTCTATCCGGACAGCTTCGTAACTCACTTCATCTTCCTACCCCGACCGTATCATCAGCACGACGCACGGAACCCGAGGTTCAGATTTATGGTGTTGGTAACGCTGGCGGCCACCACATGAACGATTCCTATGCTATCCGCTCCGTGCCCAACTCTGCTGTCCGCACCGCTGCTCGCCTATCCACCCCCCGCCAATCGACCCCCAGAAGTTCGATTTTCTCTAGCACCCGCCGCGTCTCGGCACCTACCCCCTCACGCTCTGCTCCCCCCGCCGTTGTCACTTCTTCAGTAATGGCTGGACTCTCAAAAGATGGAAAGAAAGTCGGTGCAAACCGCGTAGGAACATGGCTCAACCATGTTCAGATCGACCCCGAGGCGACCGTCACTGCCGCGGAAAACGTCGAGGTCGATGACTGGAGGTGCGATGGCACCATGATTGGTATTGATTAAAAGGAAAAATGGGTGTACACTTACGGCGTTTTGGATTTATGATTTCTGGTTTGTTATATTTTTTTATTATTATTTTCGCACGGGTGGGATTTTGCATGTACAATTATGGTTGTAGAGGTTTTGGATCGCATTTAGCCGGCAAGATACCCACTTATGTCTTCGTTAATAATGCATATTAGCTACGTAGTCTTTTCTTGGAACTTTTTCTAGAGATTGCTCCAAAAGAATATTCAATTTTATCTTTTCTACTCTTACTCAATTCACAAGCACATCTACTTGACATATTAAGGCGTGATCTGACTAGCATATGCGCGAATTTTTTTTTTAAAAAAATGAACTAGACATTGCTGCCCAACAACCGATATGCACCAACGATAAGCAAAAAGATAATGTCTTGGCTGTCAGCCCTATGTAACTACCAGCATGGCTGCCAGGATGGCAAAAAGAATGGTTCGAAGAATCTTGAGCAAGCTCAAGCACGTTGTCCCCTTCGTGGATCGAACACGATACCTCCAGATTTAATGACCGAAGACTTCAGTCTGGCGCTCTCCCAATTGAGCTAAGGAGACGGCTTTTTATTGGTTGGTTGTTAAATTTGGATGTATATGTACCACGGGTAACGCGCTGTCTCCCGCCAGCTGCGAGATGATGCAAGATCTCTTACATCTTGCAAATATTTCGACGTGTCGTTCCACCATATGACCAGCGAGGTTGAGTGGGGTGAGCAATCTTGACTAGACAGAATAAAGCCTAGTGCACCGAAGCTCACCCATCGGAGGTCCGATAGCTCAATACCTCCATACCCAATGCCTCCAACTGCGACAGCTTACCACGGGGGAAAGAAGCTTACGCCAGCTCCTACACGATGCAACCCTCGCCTCTTACAAATGCATTAGCTACTGTAGCCCAGCTCGAGACCTCCGGCTCACAACTCGATGGCATCCCACCCGATCTCGAAGACTCGATACGCTTCGCCGGCGCAAGGCTCACACAAGCTGCGGGAATACTGTTGAGACTACCCCAAGAAGTCATTGCGCAAGCAATTGTGGTGTTTATGCGATTCTGGCTTGGGCCAGAGGGTGGAAGTCTTGCGGAGTTTGGCGCAGAGCAAGTCTCAGCAGCTTCGCTTTACCTGACTACCAAGTTGTCTGCATACCCCAAATCAGCACGAAGTATAATTAATGTATACGCGTACCTCGACTCGCTTCCTACGACTTTCTTCGGCGTGGATCAACTCCACCAGAAACAGGATCCACGCGAGTATTTTGTTACAGAAGGCACGTACGAGCGCCGTCGCGCAACCCTCTTCTCCACCGAGCAACGCATCTTGCGCACCCTTGGCTTCAATGTGCAGATCCAGCTCCCCTACACACTCTGCATAACATACCTACAAGCCCTCGATATCTTTGTGCATCCTCGCGCGTCAGAGCTCGCCAAACGCGCAATCGCATACCTAAATACTGCTCTGCTGAGCCCACAATGCCTGTACTTGACACACCAGCCACCGACACTGGCTACAGCAGCGATCTACTTGGCTGCAAGAGAGACAGGAATCAAGATGCCAGAGTGTGAGTGGTGGGAGGTTTTCGATACAGACAGAGAGGTGTTGGGGTTTTTATGTGTGGGTATGCTGAGTTTGGAGGGATTTGCGCAGGAAGAAAAGAAGAAGTGGGAAGGAACTAAGGTTCCTATGAATGTAGAGGACTTGGAGAGGGAGATGGAGAGGAGACAAGAAGTAGAAGGTTAAGGTGAGCGCTCTAAGGACGATAGAAGAGTCGGAAATCTCACTGGTTGGATATGGGCAGTCGCCCAGCAACAACCGCAGCCTCTCTCCCGACCTTCCAGATGCATGGCACCTGACGGGATTTACAAACTGGTAGTGGTGTTACCACACAGTTCCCTGGAGTCTCACGGCTTCATAATGTCTTGGTTGCACAAACAATGTGCAGGGCTCAATGACACATGTTGCACAATACATGCTGTTACATCTTGGAAATTTGCTATTAAAGGAAATCTCCTTTGAATCGAAATGAAGATCACAACAAAGCAAACACCAAGAACAGAAGCACTGTGAATATTTCAAAGGACCGAACAGAAAATACACCATGGATATGCAAACCACCCAACTTGCGAAGGATCAGCGCGGACTCTCCGTCACTTCTGCGCCGGAATTTTGTGAGACTGCGGAGTCTCCAGTGAATTCAGACACATATCCGGAGGACACTCTAATTAAAGGCAACTTGGCCAAGCCACAACTTCCCTCTATTGAGAGTGTGCTCCAAGAAGGCAATCCAGGCGGTTTAGTCCGCCGCGGTGCTATCAAAAGGCCTAGCATGAGGAAGAGGCACGACAGCTGTGCCTCTAAGACGTCTATTTCCACTTTGAACTCAAATTACGGTTCGGTAGATGGTCGGGATGAAGACATGCCTTCTGCACGCCGTTTCAGCTTTGGACAGATTTCTGATGGGCCGTCCTCTGACTTTACTGGTCTAGCAACTACTGGCGACTATACACGTAGCCAGGTTCCGGAAGATGTCCGCCTATCGGTTCTTCGTAGGGTGGAGCTCTTCGAGACTTATACAGCAAGTTCGACGACGCCTGGTAATATGCCAGCGACTGCTAGTCGCCCTTCACGGTTCGTAGAGCACTTGAATGAATCGTCCGACGCGGTTTTCGAGTAGAAAGTTAAGGAATAGAGCAGTATTTAGGAGAAGACAAGGGGTTTGAGATGTCGATCAAGGTGAATTGATGATTGGGATGCAATTATGATTGTATGGGCGTTTGTCTTACCCTGGTGTCAACCCTATCCTTCTTAGACCTATTTCTAGCATACGACCCCCTCATCCTTAGCATAGTGTTTGTTTTCCACATCCTTCACTCACTCATTTCATAATCACTGAATAGAAAAAACCATACCATTGTTTACCACACTGTCTCTTCTCACTGCATCTTCACAACACACGTGTAATCACTACTTACTACTACCTCTTCAACTCCACCCTTATTTCCTCCCTCTCTTCCAAAAAAATAATATAGTTTAATCAAACCAATCTCGACGACGACAACAGTCGCAAAAATGCCACGAGACCCAGTCGCTGACCGGGCAATGTACCACCGAATCCAAGACCTCTTCCACAACCTCCTCGTCGTCAAATCCTCCCTAGACACCCGCCTCCACCTCGAAAACCTCATCCAAAACTCCAGCTACTACTGCCTCACCTGCTCCCCTTCCCCCTCCTCTCCATCCCCCACCCCAGGCTCCTGCGGCCCAACCTGCCCCCTCCTGCGCCCCCGCTCCTCAGCGGGTTTCATCCCCTCCGACTCTTCCCCCTCCAATATGTCTTCTATCCAGTCCAACTTCGAAAGCTACTACGATATTCTCAAAGATATATATCGGAAAGGAAGGGATGTGACGGATGCAGAAGCGGCGGGTTGGGAGAAGCAGGCGGAGGAGATGCGGAAGTGGTCCGAGACGCCGATGGAGCGGTGGGAGAGGCAGGGGTGGGAGGTTTGGAGGCGGAGGGAGAAGTGGAAGAGGGGGGGTTTTGGGAGGGAGTGGGAAGGAGGGGGGGTGTGGGGGGCGAAGACTGAGGGACGGGGGGAGTGATTGGGTGCCTGGTAGATAGGGTGTTGGGTTTGGGGGTTTAACGGATTGGGTTCTGTATGGTAAGAGGGTGGGTGGGTAGATTGGAGAGGTTTGATATAGGATGGTTAACAGGGAGTTTGGATATATGGAGTCAAGTGTGGATGGTATGAGATAACTTTGAAACTTTGTCTTTTGAGAAGACGGTAGTATTAATCAGTCTTAGGTACTAAACCATTCTCCTTGAGACTCGCTTTCTGCCGTTCGTTCGCGTTTGGTCACATATGTATGTTCTGTAGTAGGAAATATACAGATAGTGGATACTGGAATAACGTAATTGCATCCGCCAATTATGTTTGCCTAAATACTTCAAAGCAAAAGCAATTGTCAATGCAGCATTGCGAACGTGCATTGGTGTGACGTGCTGCACGTACGCAGGAATGCGGATCTTAGAAAACCATGACGTCAAAAGGAGAGCTAGGTCGAGTATCAATCCAGACCTCTACCAACCTCACTGTCACTTTCCTGCCATATACACACAAATTCATTGTCAATTGCAGTTTCACAAACATCACAAACATGAGTTACTTCCGCCCCATGTCAATGCTACGTTCAGCAGCACTGCGTCCTGCAGCGCTCTCAGCGGCTCCTCGAGCCCGCGTACAGGTCCGCTTTGCAACTCAGGATTACGGCTCTGGCGAGGGAAACCCAGTTGGAGAGGCACCCCAGAAGCAGGGCGAAAATCCCAGCGAGAACCTTGAGCACCCTGGCCCCGAGCCTCCAAGTGTTGCCAAAGGCAAGTCTTCGTCGTCGCCAGACAAGGACAGCAACGCGGGCCAAAACGACTCTCCCCAGCCTACCTCGCAGTCTCCAGCTCCATCTACGAACAAGGGATCTTCAGGCCAGCGCAAGTTCTCGACATGGTCGCGCCGGATGCAGGACAGCAAGGAGCCAGCCGTTAAGCAGGGTCAGCAAAACGAGCCCGACGCCAGCGAAGTCAAAGGTGCGAAACCCAAGATACTCAACGAGAACCCTCCTACGGCTGGAAACGAGAGCAAGGAGGTCAGGAAGCACAACGAGGACATGAGTAACCGGGCGGAGCAGGCGCATGAGCGGGTCAGCAACGAAGAGGCTGAAAAGGACAAGGTGCCTGTTAGCTTCTGGAAAGGCATGTCTCCCATGTTTGATGTATTGAATGCATTGCTAACAACTATACAGGTGAAGGTGGACGCGGCGATTCAGAGGGTGTCCGGGGGTAAACACGAGCTAAGTGATGAAGGGGGAGATGTATGATTAGCTACGACTCGAGGGGTCAACAATGTTGCGTGACACGCGATCAAAATGGTACAATTGCGCATTTGTTCAAGCGTGCATGTTCAACCTTTTGCTTTGAGGCTTGCCAGCATCATTGTGCTTCATAAGTTTTGTGCATGTTTGGGTGATGACGTCAAGGGCTGAACGCGCTCACGACATTAGCCCCGCAAACCATCGCGATGGGAAATTTCCAAATGCCATGGCGACCCACCACGTCCGTTCCAGCCCCAGGCCAGGGTGAGAGACGTCAGAATTGCAGTCCTGACAAGTAAGAAGCGCAAGTATGAAAAAAAACACGCGGGATGCCTCGGAGGCGTGCGGATGGCAGCTTGCACATGTTCGCGAGGCCCAGACGGCGTCACAATTGCGCTCTCACAATTGCGTACACATACCAGGCGGCTGCTGGTCGCGCCTTCTCATTGGCCGCACATGCAACAGAGCGGAGGCAGGCGCGTTGGAGATCTTGTTTGTCCGAGCTCCCAACGTGAAGTCCTACGTCACTCGCACGCACGCCTTGTGGCCGCCCATTGTTCGTGCCTCCCCTCATAAACAGCCCTCTCACCATCCCTTCTTGCACTATTTACTTGCCCTTTGCTCGGTATCCCACCTCCCTCATCTCTGCTTCATCACCTAATACTAGCGTAACCATCACACCGCCCTCCCGACAAGATGAGGTTCTCTTTTGCATCCACTCTCGTCGTGACGCTTGCTGCGTCGGCATCGGCCAACAGCTGGTTTGGAAGTACTGGTGCGTACAGTACAGAGCCCATTCGCTTTCCTCTTTTCTACAATCACGCTCTCTAGCAGTACACTGACGTGAGTGAACAGTCTACGACAAATGGCACGAGACGGAGCTTGAGCGCTGGCTCAGTGACCACGGCATTCCTCACCCCAGCCCTTCTGACCGCAAGAACCTCCAATCGACCGTCAAGGCCAACTGGAACGACAAGACTGTTTCTCCCTACACTAGCTGGGACGCTCCTACGCTCCAGAAGTACCTGAGCCTCAAGGGCCAGCAGGCCAAGAAGGGCACCGAGAAGGACGCAAAGAGCCTCGCTGAGCAGGTCAAGCTGTACTGGACGGAGAGTGAGGAGTCTGCCAACCAGGCCTACGGCAGTGTTAAGGACTGGATCTTTGACACGTATGTAATCTGTGCTGCTTATTCGTTATCACTGCTAACATTTCATAGTTGGTCCGATTCTCAGCTCAAGGCTTTCGCCGACAAGCACGGCATCCCCGTTCCCCAGCCTCGCCAGCGTGACTCTCTTCTCGCTGCCGTCCGTGACAACTACCAGTCGGCTGCTGAAAAGGCCAAGGAGACCGCAAACTACCCTGGTGACTGGCTCTACGCTTCGTGGTCTGACTCTGATCTCAAGGCCTGGTTTGACGAGCGTGGCTACCCTGTTCCCCAGCCCAATACCCGCGACTCCCTGATTGCTTCCATCCGCCGTCAATCTCGCCTTGCCAGCCTGCAGTCTCAGGATGCATACGCCTCTGTCACTTCTGCTGCCGCCGCGGCTCAGCAAAGCCTCAGTGACGCGTTGCTCGACTCCTGGTCTGACAGTCAGATCAAGGAGTGGGCTGACAAGAACGGTATCAAGGTTCCTCAGGGCTCCAAGCGCAACGAACTCCTCGCTCTCGCTCGCAAGCACCGTGCTCGCCTCTATGGTGACAGTGCTTCCGCCACTGCTAAGTCTCTTTCCGCCTCTGGTGCTTCCGCTTACGGCGCTGCTACCTCCAAGGCCAACAACGAATACGCTTCTGCCACCAATGGCTTTGCTTACTACACCAACTTGGTTAAGCAGCAAATTGGTCTCGCCGGAGCTAGCGCTGCCTCCGCTACTGATGCCGCTGCTGCCAGTGCCGCTTCCGCTACCAACGCTGCTGGAGCCAGCGCCAGCTCACTCAGCGGTGCTGCTGCAAAGGCCGCTTCTTCATCCTCTTCCTCGCTCTCCAAGTCTGCTGCTAGCGCTTCCTCTGCTGCCTCCAAGTCCGCGAAGAGCGCATCCTACCAGGCCGCCGCCAGCGCATCTTCTGCCAAGAACGAGTTGTAAGAAACTCACTACTAGCAACACAACCGACAAGCAGCGTTCAGATGTATCATGACAATGATACGCCTGCCTCACGTACTATTTCACGACCTTACGATCTACGTACGGATGGAAGGAGAACGGAACGGAGTAGGCAACAAAGCCTTGTAACATTAGCATCATGACGATATCCCCTCTTTGACCTCATGGCAGGCTATGGAGGGTTTAGGGTTTTTGTGTTCCTTTAAGATTGGGAATGATGGCGTCTTCAGTAGCTTAGTATAGCTTGATAATGAAAAAAGGTTACAATTATAATTACAATTGATAGCGGCTGCTCCATTACGCTCCCTTTGTGATTATCGTGTCCAGTAGAAGTAAATGTGTGTGTTTCCATAGATGGAAAAAATCATGGCCTGAACCAATTTCTGGTCCTCGCAGATTGAGCTCATGGGTTGTTCTGCCCCAGACCATCTCGCCGCGGCTTGGCGGCTTTTTTGGCATCCGCTCGAGACTGTTCCACATCTTTTCTCAGGCGCATTTCGTCAGCGGCTGAGCCATCATCGGTTGAAGAGGGAGGATCATTTGCAGGGTGAAGTCCCTCAGATGAAGTAGCGTCGTCTTGTGCTGCTGCTGCGGTTGCTACCATGACTTCTTCACGTCCACTCTGCTGCAGCAACCCCCCCTCACCGCCATCATCAAGACCCCTACTACTCGCCTTCTCCATACGAAACAGTATATGATCCGCTGCCCGCAACAGCACTCTTCCATCCTCTGCATCTTTACGCCACCTCTCTCGCTTCTCGCGGGGAAACCTCTGGTCCAGACTCCCCTCTTCGAACCGCTGCACCTGCGCATCGATCTGGCGAGCCATTTTCTCGATTTCCAAGATGGAGAAACTGGGCCTGTGGGTTGCGTAGTTGATTAGGTGGGAGGAAGGGAGCCAGTTTTCTGCCTCGGAAGTAGAGAGAGACGACGAAGAAGAAGAGGAGGAAGAGGAAGGAGAAGAGAGTGAATTTTCCCAAGCGGCCTTGTGCTGAAGCGACATATGCCAGTGTATAATTTTCATATCCAGTGCATCCGCCGCGTTGCGCAGGCGGGTATGAGCGACATCTACGAGATGGATTTCCTGAAGCCGTCTGAGACGGTCGTCTGCATCTAAGGTTTTGTGCAAGTGGCAGTATTCGTAGCGTTGGTGGGCGTTTAGAGAGAGCAGGTAGTGTGCTTCTTCTAGGAGGATTTGGCGTTCTACTTGCATTTCTTGGATTCTAGCAAGAGTGGATTCGACGTTGATTTGGGCGAGGTCGGCTGTGTAGTCTACGGGTTCGAGGTAGAAAGGGGGGTCTGGGGTTTGTGCTACAGGTTCTGGGTTTGCGACTTGCTGTGTTGTCTGAGCAGCAGCAGTGGTCTCGACAGACTCGACCTCGTCTTCTGTTTGTTCAAAAGCATTATCCGGCAAGAGCTGGGTATACCAGACGCCATTGTGCCGAACGTACTGCTGCATTATCGGACTCAATTTAGCCATAAGTTCCTTGTCCCAAAAGATGGCCCAAAACTCGAGCGACCTGCGCTTCCGTCGTGCTTCAAGTAGTCTGTACGCCTTTTGCCGCTCCCCCGTATACTGAAGGTACGCATGCGATCCCACGACGCCCGTACAGCCGCCGATATTTGCCATGCCCAGGCACCGCGTCCAGCGCGGTAGAGTAGCCGGGCGGCGCATCAGGAGCATAGGTATCGAGGCCGATAGACCGATAGCGGCACCGGCCAAAGCGCCATCGTCGACCGTGTACCCCTTGGTCCACTGATATAGTCTCCACCTGCTAGTCTCTTGCACCTTGTCGGCAACAACCACATTTGCAAAAGCCGAGTAGTAGTACCAGTTTACGGCGGCTCCGGCTAGTCCGACGCAGAGGCCCAGTCTGGCCGACGACCGTACAAACAGGGCGGGCCTAGATGTGTGTGCTGCTTGTTGAGGCGCTACGCCGACTGCTGCTACTCGCTGGTTGAATGTCGAGGCAAACGAAGTATACACTGCGGCCAGCAGCGTCGAAGAAACAAGACAAGTCTGGGGCGTTGCATTTGCGCCAATGCCTTCTGGTCGTTTTGGAACAAGCCCGTGTTGGCCTTCCCCTGTTGTATGCACATGTTTCTCATCAGTGACAAAAGCTCCATGGTCATCCTCCACAACCGTCTCTCTCTTTCTCTTTCGCATTTGTTCTTGGCTTACCGGGCGGGACGAATAGTCGCAGCACCATGCTTGACTAAGGGAGGAGTGGGGGTAGGTGTTAGAGAGCAAGAATACGCTCTGACTACACCAAACGGCTACCAGTGATGGTAGTGGTGCATCGTGGGACTCATATGCCGCGATAGCAACAGGGCCCTTTGATCAAGAAAAAGGGTGTGCAGGGGCGGGGAGGCGCGCGTGAGGAACCCACGGGGCCCATTCAGTACGGGCGAGGGTGCGTGGGCTTTGCCGATGAGTGGGCGAGGCGGTTCCAAGTCATGAGGCTGTATCTGAAACCCGGTCGCACATAGCAGCCACTACGGACGGCCACGGGGAAAGGCGCGCCCGCAGCGGAGGCTGCGCATCAGTGCCGTTTTCGGTCAAGGGCTCGAAGGGGGCGTTGTTGAGATTGAGAGCAGCTGGCGCGTCAGGACTAGTGGTTGCGTGGTATGCGAACTATGCAGGGTTCAGCGAGCGCACGTGACGTCGTCTAGGTGATCAGGCGACGAACTGCAGCTCGTTCTAGACACCCACCTTTACACACCCTCAAGCCATGTTGCCTCTACTAGCCACTACCGGGGGTAGGGGGGAGGGGGGACGCTGGTCTATTATGGTAGAATGTATGTATTACCAGGGGGGGAGGGACTAAACCATTCATACGCACGCTATACAAGCCCTACTTCTAGATCAATATCCCACATGTTACCGGTACCAACTCCGGCACCCTCTTTACGCCCGTAAAACACCTGGTCCCTGATAACCCTAGATACACACATCAACCGTGCCACGCCAAGGCAGCCCATTACATACCTACACACTGACCTCCCACTTGCTTCTGCGGCCCCTAGATACCCGCCTATTACAAAGCTCGTATTTCCGATCTAGTAAAACATACCGCGCGAGAAAAAAAAGATAAGAAAAGATGCACAGTAACAAGCTTTTTCCAGCCCAAAAGAAAATGAAATGAGATGACACGCAGAGAAAAAAAAAGAGAGTTTGTCGAGATAACGCCGTCGCTAAGGAAAAGATACGAAGTGCCAAGATGAGCAAATCCAGCACAAGCCACCCACGCTACTATAGTGCATTAGTACGTACAGAACACGGATACAGAGATGCAAAAAAAAGAAGAAAACAAAAGGAAAAGCGTCGTTGAGACAGGTCACCCACGGGCCATTGCTGTCGCTGCGGTCTCAAGCAGCTCTCGTATCTCGCCTCTGCATGACAATCTTGCTGTCTTCGCTGCGGAGGAACTCAAAGACGCTCAGCTCGAGCCTCGCTAGCCCGTCCTTGAACAGGTACTCGCTTCCCTCAGTGTTGGTCATGACTTTAAAAGCCATGCACAGCAGGTCTTCCGGGCTCATGCCGTCAATCGGGCTCATGTTCTTCCACTTGAGTCGCATTGCTCGGAGGTCGTTCATCGCCAGTAAGCGGTCTACAAGCCCCACATGCGAGACACCCGGATTCGAAGCCATTGAGTGGCGCAATGCGGCAATGGCTTGCCGTTCGTGGAGCCAGGCGGTCAAGATTTTTGAGACCAAGTCGTAGTGGGTTGAGAGCTCATTGCGAAACAGCGACTCGCCATGAAACCATAGCGCATGCAGACGTTGAAGTAGCGCAGCTTCATCCGGAGGCATTGTAGGGCGCGGGAAGAAGAATGTAAACAGGCCGGCCGTTACCTCGCATTGCAGGAGGCGGAGATCGGCTGTCGGGACCGTTTGTCGGGGAAGCGCTGGGGTGGGCTGTGTGACATGTGCCGGTTCCGAATGCTGACTTTTCAGTACGCTTTGATGCGAAGCGTGATGTGATGGGGTTGAGTGAGCATGACTAGGAGGTGCTCGATGGCTGACTAGGGCTGGTGCGGGTGGTGGCGGTTCCTGTATTGGGACCAATTGTATTCCATAAGCGGCTGCACCTTGCGAAAGGGGCGTAGACGTTGGTTGTGTATTAGATGTTGTAAGTGGCTTATTAGGTGCGGCCTGCGCGAGGGGTGTACTGGATCTACTTCGGGGGTGAGGTACAAGAGAACGTCCAAAGTGAAGTGTTGAAGTATTAGGTGGACTTGATGGTCGAGGTGTCGACTGTTGTTGGTTTTGAATATGTGGATGAGAAGGAAGTGGCGCATGCTGGGTATGCTGCGGTTGAATGGGTTGTGGTGTATGTTGCTGCTGCGGGCTCTGTGATTGCGATTGTGGCTGTGGAGCAATGTGAGCATGGTGGGCATGTGGAACGACCGGGGAATCCTTCTTCAGAAGTCCGTTTGCTCCATTTGTAGGTGCAGATGTATTTGCCGGCTGAAGCACATGATGACTAGGAGCAGACGTGGAGCTCACAGGCATCACGGAGCGTGGAGGATCCGTGGCAGGCCGAGGCGGTGCTGAGTTGTGCGGTGATGGCTCATAAGGGCTGGTGTAGCTATTACTGTGACGATGTCCGCCTACAGGAGAGGGCCGCTGCATTTCCTTTGAAGATTCCCGTGCGGCTTCACGTACGGGATCCCTCAGAGGCTCCTTGACAGCCAATGGGTTGTTGTTCACTGCAGTGAAGCTTCCAGTATTGACAGCGGTGAAGCTGCCGGGTGTCGGGCTTTGGGAAACAGAAAACGGCCTCGGTACGCCGTTGATATCGTTGTTCGTCAAAGGAGCAAGTTGCGTCCTACCGACTTCAGGACCGTTTCCTGGTGCTGGAGAGAAACGATGGGCGTGAATTGACATGGGTGGCATGTTTTCCATACTGCCCGACACAGCGGGATAGAGCGATTTGAGTGATTTCCTAGGGCTGCCCTTTCGGCTGATGGGCATGGTGCTGTACGGCCGCTTGACAGGTGTCGTGTCCATTTCATCATCGTCAGAATTGGTCAGGTGAGTATTGCTTTTACGCTTCTTCAGATTGACTGGCTTGACGTCAAGGTCGGCACCGGCAACAGAATCCATGTCTGGCGGTGTAAGCGACTGCGGTGTGCTATGTGGCGACTGCATTTTAATTAATAATCGGATGAGATGAGATGGAACATGTCACTATTATGACGGTGAGCAACTTACCAGGCCCTCACCATCAATGTCAGCAATCTGATCATACTCGTTTGCGCCCGACGGTCGTTTGAGCTTCATGTTGCGAATGTAGTAGCAGGCCTTGATGATTATCCATCGGTGCAGGTGTATCTTAAGACTGCAAAAAGCTTAGCGCGTGCGCCCACCCACAAGTACCCACACCCCCTGCACCACCCACATAAAACACAAAACACAAAAAGTGCATGGACAAAACTTACATGTCCTTGTGCTCGGACTCTTCGTAAAACAAATCTTTGTTGTACGTTTTCTTCGTTGGATCCGGAGTCAGCAAGCAGCTGCGATCCGCATCCCTGCCCCAAATAGCGGGCCCGTAACTCGCTAGCAAGTCCTCGAGCTCCTGGTCGAGCGAATGCGGATCCGCGGCAAAATCGAGCAGCGCATCTCGCTCCTTTGGCAATTCCTTGGACAGCTTGGTGACTTCGCTGGACAGCTTGCGATAGTCGGGGTTGTCGAATTTGGGGATGCCGCGGTTGGTGGTGGACGAGGATGCAGACAAGCCGAGGCCTAGGCATTCCGTCACCTCGCGGATAGTCGGGTTATGCGAGCTGAAGACGGAGATCCATCGAGCGCGGTCCCATCGTCGCACGCCGTGCTCGAGGTCGAGGGCTAGGTTGTCCTTTGAACTCATGGCCGCTGCATGGGCGATGGTAATGGTGGTGGTAATGGTGGTAGTGGTTGGTAGTAGCCGGGGGGCGGTTGGACAATTGAGAGAGGGTGTAGGAAAGCAACGATGGGAAACGTAGACGGTTGGAGATGACAGTGGATGGGGCGCACGAGCACTCAGCGGAACGTGTGTGATGATGAGATGGACTAGGGTGGGATGGGATGGGGAGGGGGGTGTGATGTGCCGGGCAATGGTAAAAGGAGTACGTTCCACTAGGCCGTCTTGGAACAAAGTTTTTTTTTATTGCCAGTTGCCTCTTCCAAAAAACTTTGTTCAGCGTCGGATGCCGATCGTGCTACCTCAGCAAACAAAGAAGATAGGCCCGGACCCCTGTAGGGACTGGCGCCAGGGTGACGAGCAACTAAGCGGAGTTGCTGGGGGGGGGCAGTTGCAGTTGGCTATTAGTGGGATGGGGTGACAGGATGACAGGATGACGACGATGATGGATGATTGATGATGATTGATGGCGGGTGACGTGTAAGAAAAGCGACAGAGGGTATGCAGCGTCGAAAAGATAGGCAGAAAAGAGGAGCGTGTCCAGTAGCGAGACCATAAGGTGGCAGGGGCGGCATCAAAAAACATGTGCATAGGTTAATACGCGTCCGTTAATGACTCGCATGCCAATAATTCCCCATCAGGTGTAAATGATAGTACCGCCCGGTCCTCATTCGTCCAGGCGAACTGAGGCCCGCCGGCCCTTGCTCGTTCATAGCAATAGTACGACGCTTGCACTATGGGCTTCATTGTCACTCGCTGCCTTATGCTAGCTGCTAGTCATCTGTACTTATTACTCGTCCCATGCCATGGCCGTGTACCCAATAACTACAGCCCCAATTACAGCGGCCGTAACCACGCGCATTGGTCGCTAGCAGCAAAAAAACTCTTACTCGCCTAGGCCAAAATACCCGACCCTCTTTACTCAAACCAAGCACTAGCCGCCATGTGCTATCAGCGAACAGGCGGCACTACGACACTTTGCGGCATAGCTCGACATGGTCCTTATTGGCGTCGTGGTCAGGAGTTACAATTACACCTTGCATCTATGACGCGCTCGTCCCTCGACTGCCTCGCTTTTTTCAGCCTGCGTGCGCATTACAACTCGTACTCTGCCGTCTTTGTCGCCCACATGTTGTGCTGTTTTTGATCAGCACCGCCCGCTCCCACTCTCCCTCTCTCATTCCCTCTCCCTCCCACTCTGCCTCCCACGCCGCCCCGCCCCCTATCCGCTATCCGCTATCCGCTATCCGACCCTCACCCTGACTCTCTCTCTCTCTCTCTTTCTCTCTCTCTCTCTCTCTTTCTCTCTCTCTCTCTCTCTTTCTCTCTCTCTCTNCGCTATCCGCTATCCGCTATCCGACCCTCACCCTGACTCTCTCTCTCTCTCTCTTTCTCTCTCTCTCTCTCTCTTTCTCTCTCTCTCTCTCTCCCTCCCCCCCTCCTAACACGGCAGCACACCAGCCACGAGGGAAGGAAACCCGTTATCGCATGGCATGACATGGCGCGAGCCAATTGTGGCGCCCTCCCTCCCTGTCGTAAATCTATCTACACGAGGCCAGTGCCCATGAGTAGGAATACATTACTCTACTTAGGGCACATGGAGATATGCGCGACGCTCGTCCGTCATGGCGTCCTAAAATAGGAACCTGGCATTACTTAGGCAAGATTTACGGCGCGCTGCCCAAAAAGCCAAAGCCCACACGCCCCCTTGCCCGCAGGTTACATTAAGCGAGAGTGTACTGCGAAGTCCTGCCGAGCCGTCACCATTATATGCCCGGATACTGGTTGCCGAACTATTGATCGCTGCATACCTGCGCTTATCCTTGGCAGTACGTGAGACGGCCGTTTTATTTTATTTTTTTTCTTTATTTTAAATTTATGCCCACTCGTCGCGTGACTCCCAGCTACACGTTGCACTCATGTAGGCTGACGGGCAAACGTAATCGACAGGCGGATTGGGTATGGGGCTGCGTGTCTACTGTGTACTAACATGTCTGTGTGTGCATGTCTGTGTGTGTGTGCGTGAGCGTGCAAGTGGCACACCTGGCCTAGTCTAATCCTACACGATCCTGTAACAAGATGAAGTAGCTGAAACCAACCCCTGCGGCTGACCTACCCCAATAGACAATTTTTCCGAATTGGGTCGCCTAGTGCGCCTCTTAAGTCTGGCCGATCGATCGATCCCTTGCCTGCTGCTGAACGCCTGTAAGATCCACACCGCGTACAGAGTTTACCACTATACTCCAAGCCCACTGTACTATATTATATGCGTGACAAAAAGAGATACAATGTGACAACTTCCGACGCTTATTATCCGGCATGCCACAGCATACCCTTGCCATCTTCCTCTTCCTCCCGTCGGAAATTCTCCAGGTGTTCGTGCAGCCAAGCCATTGTCGCGGTAAACTCTATGGGCTTCCACTGCATCTCTACCGCATACTTCTCTCCTGCTAGCACGACCAGGGCTTGTCGCAGTAGCTCGTCACGATCCACTGCAACATTAGGACCGAGTCCAAAGCCTTGGCCTACATCCTCAAAGTTTGCAATAATCGTTTGTGTACAGCCCATCAGAGTGCGGTGTTGTTGGATGCGTCGTTCGATTTCCGCCGTGGTATGGCCTTCTGCTGACCACCCTGTACATTTGCAGTCATTGTCAGTGCGGGACGATGTGCGGATAGGGCTAGAGATCGTCGACTTACGTTCGTTTGCACGTTGCAGAGCTGCCAAATGGCGCTTGAGTTCCACCCATGTCAAAAACGCCCTCTCTCTCGCAATGAATACGGGAATGTTCTCGATCATTTTCTGATAATCTGCGCGAACTCGCTCGCGCCATGTCTTTTCCAGTGAATTGAGTAATGCCTCCTCGTCTACCGCAACTCCGTGCTCTTCCCCGTAGACGTATTGTCGTAGCGCCCGCAACCCGTCGTAATCTAACCCGCGGTAGGGTATGCTGTTGTTTGGCTGGGGTATCTCCTCTGATCCTGCATCGTCCGAGCGGAAGGTTGCTACCAGCTTCGCAACTTCAACGCTAATTTGCCGATCGACCGCTGCTTGGTTTGCGTTTACGACCTGCTGGTCCACGGCCCCTTTGCTTTCTGCGGGGTGTGTGCCATGGCCGTGAGCAGGGCCTGCAGACGTGGTACTAAGATCTCTTGATCTGTTACCGTCTACAGCTAGTCGGTTCCAGACACCTTCAACAATGTTTTGTCGCTGTTGCAAGGTTTGCGCTTGATATGCGTTCGCGGCTGCAAGAGTGGTATAGCCGTTAGGTACATGCCCACGACCGTTGACGGATGTAAACTTACCTGCTTCGCGGGGTCCCATGATAGGACTTTCACCCGATTCTGGGGGTGTGAGCATTGCACTAGAGGAAATCGGACTGCCACGTGATATTGTATCACCATCGTGCAGGACTGAGTTGGGTGCCAGCGCAACAAAAGATGCTGGTGTTCCGCCGTCTTGCTGACCAGAAAACTCAGCCTCAGCTCGCGCTTGTCGGTTCTCTGCCTTTTTCCTCCTTTCCCGATCGAGCCGCTCTCGTGCAAGGATGACATTGCACGCTTTCAGTCCGATCCACCAGTGGAGGAGCTTGTGAATTCTAGGCGATCCATCAGCAATCGTTCGTGATTATCCGAGTTTTCGGTCTGCACAGCCAGCCTGCTTACAATTGCCTATCCTCCTCGTTCTCAAAATAGAGATCCCGGGAATAAAGCCCTTCTTCTACGCCAGGTTCGTTGGCGGTGAGCAGATGATCGCGCTCTCCTACTCTCCCCCAAACCTTCATCCCATGCTTTTCAAGTAAACCGTCGACCTCCTCTTTTAAGCTTCCCTCATCGCTGAGGAACTTCATCAATTCATCTGGCTCCTTTGGTAGCGTAGACACAACATCCCCCATATCCGCCACGAGTTCGCGCACCAGGGCCGATTCAAAATTGGTTTTGCCGCGCTTATTGGAAGACCACTTTGCGCGTAATCCAAGGCGCTCAATAAGCTCATGCATGCGCACTTTGGACCGATTTTTCATGATATCGAGCCAGTCCTTCGAGGTCGCATAAGTGATTGCTGAGCTGTCCATGATTGCGACGGTTGCATGAAATGTCAAAAGTCGTCAGGAAATTTGGTAAAGAAGCGCGAATCCAAGTGCTGATTTTCCTTCGGTATGATTACATGCAGATGCGCTCAGGGCCGTAACGGCAAACTGTAGATACCAGCAACAGGCCCGCTCAATGGATATATGACAGCAACTAGAGAAGAACGCAAGGCAAGCGAGCGACAAGGGGAAGATGGTAGGGAGATGCGATTGATGGCAAAAGTACAGATGAAGAAACCGTAGCGCCGCGTACGGAAAGCTCGTTTACAGGGTCAGCCACGCCAGGCCGGGAAGGGTAGGCGGAAGAGCCAGGCAGTTTTTGCTCATTGGCCAACGACTTCGCGTTAGCACGACGATCTTCCAAAGGCTTACACAATGTTGTGCAGATTATTATTCGGCCGCCAAGACACGATTCAGTCCTCCTTCGCTGCTGCAAAGCTACATGCATGGTCTGTACGGCTATCTTGGGATTCTCCGGAGTCTGTTGTTTCACCGATGGTGTTGTACAATGCGCGTACAATGTGGGGATATCCCGTGGTAGGATCCTCAAAGGAAACCTTGGACTTACATCCTCAACAACCGAGATAGATGCCCGGGCAACAATGAATCGTTTCGTGTGAGACTCTGCACATATAAGCATGAATGTGCATCCATACCTACAGGGCGCTATCGTCCTCCCGAAAATTGGAAATTGGTTCACCTCCTGTTTCCATTGAAAACTGACCAAAAGATAAGCACGGGGTATACGCGATGCGACGCAAACGCAAACGCAATCAAGAAGTGCATGTTCCCAAAACAGCCTCCTTTGGATCACGACTTCGTTATAGAAAACACAAGCAGAATCTGATCAGCCCAAAGACCTGAGTTCAACATGAACTCGACCATGTGAATTCGCGTTCCAGAGAGGGGCTTCTGCGAGTATGGTCTGCAATCGGTCAAATGCAGCCTTCTTTCCTTCACGAGCGATCAGCGCCTTGTTCATACCACCATGACCGCCAAGACTGCAGCACAAGCGCCACGTCTTTGTTCTTTTTAGGATCTCGGCAATGGCAGGGATGGCCTCGGTGTCTTCTTCCAGCAGTCTAAGTAGGCCTGCGAACGTCTTGCATTCACTAATCGTATGGACGAATTCATATTCTAGATCTCGGTCTTTGACGATCCATATTATGTATATGCGGTCGGCTTGTTCCTTGGTGAGCTCGAGATTTACAGTCTCGGGGGATAAATGGCGTTTCGTGACTCGCGGCTGTAGGTTTGGGGTGGATGTTCCAGGGCTCTGGGCAGCACAGTCAAGGGGCGTCTCCACGAAGTTTCCGGCACCTGAACATACAGGGCTATCATAGTCACTGGGCCTTTCCTCCTCTATGGTATGGGACTTGCGCGAGGTCGCTGTGCTACTTCTATGTCGCTTTGTTCTGATCGACTCATCTTCTTGAATATCATCTTCTCTGATATCTCCCTCTTCTAGCGTTCGCGTTGTTGGCGTCGAAGTGTCTGGCATACTTGATGCAGAAAGGGTAGAAGTATCATAGATGTAATTCGAATCCGACACTGACCGCTTCTTCAATTCCACCGCAGTCTTAGTACGCCCTAGTATTGGCAGTGCTTCGAGAGCTGTAGCTAGTACATCGGCACTACTGTCAAGATTGCGGAGCGTGAGCACTTCGTAGTCATTGAAAAAACGTTGTCCGTTATCACTTTCAATGATCTCCCAAGGCCGGTAGGATTGAAGACCGTGTAGACTTCTATCATGCTTCTGTGGCAACATGATGGCGAAAACTCCGGCTTCGTCGTCACCATCAAGGGGCATGATTACTAGTTTCTGTGCATCGTTAGTTTATCTATACAAGACATACGTATTTAGTAGCTGAAGGACAATTGCCTAAAACGGCTAGTACTTCCGGAGCATGACTTACAGACTTGCCGTAAAACTGGACTTCTCTCAATTCGAACACTTTTGAAGTACCCGAAACGCATCCCCGACAAACAGCATGGCGAGGCTGTCCCACCAAGCCCTGTGTTGCTCTAGGATATGGCGACATGAGCTTAGCATAGTTGGATTTCAACGTATAAAACGAAGGAAGCTCCCGAAATGACTCCTTATGTCGGTCTGGTGCTAGATAGCCAATCCAAACGCCTTGACTGAAGAGTTGATTGACGGCGTAAAAGTGTCCGTTTGAATCATCATAAGGATTGAAGCATTTGCAAGAACGCCTAGAAGTTTGCGAGCTGGTTGGCCGACTCTGTTGAGCTGTTTTGGCCTCTCCATTGCTTGGAGATCTTCCTAGTTCAAGCAGGCTAGGTGGTATGACTGGTGAAGGCAGCCCGCTAGTCTGGTCGAGAGAGCCGGATTCTGCTGCCTGGATCCCTTCCTGCGTGGCAATTTGTGGCGTAGGCGGGGCTTCATCTTTGACCTCAGAGTTGCCGCTGCTGCCCTGGCGCTTGCGGGTGCGACTAACGATACCTGACAGTATCTTCAAGTTGTAGGTGTTGACATTTGTTCGATTTCGTGACGGCCGCATTGAGTACTGAAGATGCGGGATACCCGCGGGTTGCACTAAACGGTTGTCTCGTTCTAGTTTGTGGGGATGATGTGTAGTGTAGAGTTGGGCAAGGCTGGAGTTGAGCAAGCGCCCTGTGTTTGTGGCTGCCTAGGCTAAATACACCCTTACCGCAAGTGGTGGACCCTGATTCGCCGTTTGTCTTTGCAACAGACAGCTAATAGCATTTTGCCACCGTCACTAAGGCATTGCAAACGCTTTCGAGCCATCTCTTTGCCCTTACTGTGCAGCTTGCGAGGCGCAGCGACCTTCTTATATCTACAGTGAAGGTGCCATATAGATTCGCGAGCCTACTTCACACACGCAACTTGGCCTAGTAACGCAACATAGACGTATCCAGTCGAAGCTAGATACACGTGATGCAGCTTGGTATTGAACTACAAAATTCATGGCATGGTGGCGTTCAAATTCATATTGTATATGTTTAATGTTTGTAGCCCTTGTCATACCAGAAGGCGAAGTCTAGTCTGTGCTTCCTGAGTCACTCTGGCCAAGCGTGTTCGTTGTTGTTATTGATTCAAGAATCATCTTTTTAAGATGCGTGTTTTGACTGTGTTTGATAATAGATGGGGCCGCATCATTATGTTATGCGTAGATGTCCAATTTCTCTATTGCTACATGCAGGTATTCCCTTGTCTATTATTACAGTGATATCCTGACACGGCTGAACCTATGCCTAGTCTTTAGGTAGACTAGGAGACAGATCAGGATACGTTGTAGTTGCTTCTAGAACGACATGCGTATATTTTTACATAGGAAACTCAGCCTCCTATCACAAGGTTTTTATCTTACCCGAAACGTTAAGCAGTCGATACATGCCTTGCATGCACATACCGACCGTCTATGTGCTCACTTGTTTTGACCCAAAGAAAAAAACATTACCGCGCAGGTTTCCTCTCATCGACCAATACACTCCAATTCTTTTGCACATTGATGCCACCCGCGGCGTTTCTTTGCTCGCTATCTTCGCTCACACGCGCTAGCTCAATGTCGACATTGTTTTTACCCAAGTCTTCGGTGACAAATTTAGTCTCCTCTTCATCGTCCATTCTGCTGATTCCGGCCAGTGTGGAGAACAAACCACCCGTTGCGCCCTTCTTGCGTGGCCGAGAGCCCGACGAGCCACCTGATGCAAACTGATGCGCCGGTCCTTGTGATTCGACATCGGAAGGTCTTGATGACGAGAAAGAGAAGAGTTTGCTCAATCCTACTGCCTGGAACACGGGCTTCAGACTTGGCAGGCAAGCACATGCCAGGCCAATGTTGACCTCAACAATCGACCACACGATGATCTCGCGGAAGTTGTATGTCACATCGCCCTGCGTGGCGATGGGAATTTGTAGAAAGATAATGAGGCGCACGAGCGACACGACGGCGATGAAGGTGCCGAGGGCGAACATGCCGGCGAGCACAATGCGCTGCGCAAGGGGCGCGTGCAGGCGCCACACGTGTGGCAGGGGCATGAGGACAATGACCAGGTCGAGGCAGACGTTGGGGACAGAACCGCCGAGGTATATGGCTCGGATGGAAATGCATTTTGCACCTGTTATGGTGACATCCCAGGCGGCTTGGACGGGTATGCAGTTAAAAATGACGCAGAGCAACTATAAAGATGCAATTATGGTCAGTGTTCGAAGTCCATTACATGGCATTGGAGGATGACATCTGCTTTGAGGCATGTATAACTTACGATGGAAGTACACCAGGCGATTGCCGCAGCAGTGACGATGTAGATGGTGATACGAGCCTTGATTTCGAATAGACGCCAATAGAAGGCTAGTACAGAGAGTTTCACTGACGTGATACACAGTGTGTAGAGTATGTTCCCTACATAGATGTTCTTCAAGAAAGCTATTATTTGAAGTGGATTTTCAATCTCGTAGATGTGTAGACCCAGCGAGTCTCGCATACCTACAGGGTAGCCCGGTCAGTTCTTGGTCATCCCAACCGAGAAGAAAGGTAGGATGCGAAGACTTACCGATTATGCACACGTAAAAGAAGCCGTTCGCGAGGGCCAAAGCGACTATCGACATGTAGTCGTCCCATTGCACGTTGCGCCATCCCCGGTGACGGTAGCGGCACCAGATCTTCAGGGGGACGAGAAGCATGATGAGGATGTATGTGAATATAGCAACTCCATCGAGGCGTTGGCGGAAAGCCATACTGTCGTTCTGTCAGTCACACGGCTCCCCAGTGTAGTGTTCTCTGGTCCAGGTATGGCCAGGGGCCCATAGAATGTGCCTGGTCCCATCATACGATATGGCCAGAGTCGGGGGTTAAGAGAAATTAAATCTCGTGAATAACTTACAGGCTTTCTTGAGGATCAATGATGGGCGCCATGGCTTAGGATACTTGCCCGATTTTCGTGACGAGCAGCCTCGAATGCTTTTGTGTGCGCAAAACAGAAACAAACGAGAAGGCGGCGGTTGAACACCAAGTACGTACCCTTCTGATCTGCGAAAAAGCTGAATAGTTGCAGATGTTATACCCAGGAGAAGACCCTCTCGGAGGCCTAACCATACGCCCCCAGTATATCCATGGCTCGCGCCGCTCCAGCCACTCCCGACTATAGTGCCCCTGGGAGCCACTCCATCCATATGACAGTTTTTGCTTCTGAAGCCCCATAATGGACCCAATGCGAATAACAAAGCGCCAATCCTCACTAGGCTTGCGGCTGTTGGGCAAACTCTAACTAACGGAAACCAGGGCTTAGGCCCCCGCGGGAGCGCTAGCGGGTGAACCTTGTTTGGAGGGCGTGGGCTGGAGCCTCGCAAAGGACGGAGCCTTGCCTTTTGCATTCAGACGAGCATGCATAGCGGCCTCCCGACAGGCTGGGCTGTGGATTGACGTAACCCACGGGAGAGAAATGAGCACCTGCTCCACCACGAGTATGCACGCTTGATACACACCTGGTAAGAGATTCGTGCATGCGGAAAAGGAAGCTGGGCCATCTCCCGTCCAAAAGAAAATACATGCACACTCCAATGTTAGCTGAGCGACATATTTGGATGTACATGTGTGACTGCCATGCACCTAGTATCGCCTGTGAATGAACCAAGTGCCTAAATGGTAGTGCCTCGGCGAGGAGCACAGCGAATGCGTTGACCTGGCGTACAACTGATATCTCATGGCTGTTGTATGTGAGAATCACATGGAGCGATTCACAAAAACTTCGTCTCAGTGGGTCAGAGTTGCAGACCGGCTGCTATCGGCACTTGTGCAAGGCTTGCCACCGTACAGCGTATAGTACAGGGGATCAGTTTCCTCTCTTGTGGCGAAGGAATGCCTTGGCCACTCGTTTGGTTCTCCTAATCTTCCTTACAAAGACGCCGAGTCAGAGTCAGCCTCGGCAGTTGCATAACAGCCAATTATCGGGGAACAATGCAATTTGCATCCAGGTGCCCGTCATCGGTGTGTGTAAGCATCGAATATCTTGTCTTTTTCTTTACCACGGACGCTGATTGAAAGACGAGAATCAGAACAAGATTCGATTGGGGGTAAAAGCAAAGATATACTAAATGTAAAGTTGCACGAGTAGTGTGTGGCGTCTGAGCCTGATGTAGTCGGTCAGAGTATCCGACATGCCAATCAAGCCTTCAGTGTGCGCCCTGAGCAGGGGCGCGGAAGCGGAACAAGAAATGGCGTGCAGAAATCCAACCGCTTGGAGTCGGAGTCACATGAGCCGACAGCACGTCTATTCCCTTTTCGGACTGCACGTTAGAACCGAGAACGTCAAAGGAACCTATAGGAGGCCCCATGTCCCCATCGCCTCTCCCACCCTTCATGTTTCGAAAACGACCGGGGGGATGCAATTCTTTCCTTTCGGGTAAATCGAGGGGCCCATCATCCCCTGCTTGTGGGACACGTTTAGTTTTTCTTGAATATTCAATTTACGTGATTTTCAGCTTACTAAACATGGCATTCCTGTTTCGCCATAGAGATTAGTGGCGCTGCCGAGTGGGGGAATACGTCTGCAACTAAGACATATCTCAGTATGTAAACATGTAGTCCTACTACCCGACTAAGTAGTAGGGGTGCATAGTTGGTGTGGCAAGCACCGCCGGGAGCGGCTCGTTGTCCCCATCTGCCGACCTACCCGAAAAGCAAAACTCCACTTCTTTGTTGGCATAAACAGATGCCGCGGACCTTAGCCAACATCCAAAGTCTTTTGTAGACTAATCTGCTAGGCGCTAATAGACAGGCGGGCACTAGAAAGGAAAGAGTAAGACAGTCCGTACTAGATGATTAGTCGGCGAACATGAGATACATATCTTCAAGGCCCTTCATCCTCTCTGTCTTGTCCTCGGGTCATCGAGCTTTCTTTTTTTGCCCAAATCGAGCTGCAGGTGCATAATGGTTGATCCATACATCGTCAGTGGGGTGTCGTACCCGAGCCTGTTTGCCTTCTGTTGCTCTTCGGCATTAATCTACATCTTGGTAATTGGAATTTACCGCCTGTACTTCCACCCACTCGCCTCGTTCCCCGGCCCGTTCTGGGCTCGCTTGTCGGTGATCCCGTCCTGGTGGCATACTCGTACAGGTGATAGACACATCTGGCTGCATAGTCTTCAAGAAAAATACGGTATGATTGGATATTTCGTCCTCACGGGATTACTCGTTAATCGATAATAGGCCCTGAGTTTCGTTATCGCCCAGACAGTGTCGTGTTAAACACGCCTACTGCGTTTAAGAAGATATTCGGACCGAAAGGCAACGTCAGGAAGAGTGACTACTACCGCGTTTGGCCACGCAATGTTCACTCGATCAACACTTGGAGCAGCACAGCTATCAATGTTCATGCTCGCAAGCGCCGCGTGCTGAACTACGCATTTTCCGAGGCTGCTTTGCGTGATGCCGAAGTGTTTCTTCATTCGAACATGGACCGATGGCTGGAGCTGATAGGACAACAAGCAACAAAGGATGGTGAATGGACGACACCTATCAACATGTGTGACTGGATCAACTGGCTCGTCTTCGATATCCTTGGTGACCTGTGCTTTGGTAAGAACTTTAATATGAAAGAACCCGAAAGCGACCTTCGCCATATCCCCGAAATCATGGCCACATTTTTGGAAATCCTCCACGCAGTGAGTTCTGTTGGCTCGATATCATGCTTGAAACAGCACTAATTCACCAAAGACTGCCTTCAGCCCATTTGCTGATTTGTGGGTATGGCTGAAGCCCCGAGGCCTTGATTGGCTCCTTTCAGTAGCATCACCGCCAGCCGTTGTAAGATGGCAAGACTTCATCGCGCAGTGTCTCGAGAACCGTTCTCGTGACGAGAAAGAGTTGGAAATGAACCCAAAGCCTGAAGGAGAAGTCCGAAAAGACTTCTTCCATTGGCTGTTCAACGCTGTTGACCCTGAGACTGGAAAGCGTGGCTACGATCTGAACGAGCTGTTTGCTGAGTGCGAGCTACTGACAATCGCAGGCTCTGACACAACCTCTGTCGTAATGTCTGCTGCTTTCTTTTACTTAGCAAAGCAGCCAGCAATTCAGGCCAAGATTGCTCAGGAGATTCGATCCAAGTTTGCAAGCTACGATGAGATCAGGTCTGGCACTAAACTTATGTCCTGTACCTATCTCACAGCATTCCTTCAAGAAGCCATGCGAATGACCCCGCCACTTGCCGCAGAGCCAAGCCGACAGGTCCTTCCAGGCGGCACTACTGTCGACGACCATTACTTCCCCGCTGGTGTCCATGTAAGTACTGGACTTTATTGTCTCAGTTACAACTCGAACGTGTATCCCGAGCCCTTCAAGTTCCGCCCCGAACGCTGGATTGTGGACGAGTCTGGAAAGGAAGGATCTTCAGCAGAAAGCGTAGCTTTGGCCGACAGCGGCTTCTGTGCCTTTTCCTTTGGAACCCGTGGCTGCGTTGGGAAGAATCTCGCCTGGCTTGAGATGCGTCTCGTTCTCGCAAAGACGCTCTGGATGTTCGAGGTGCAAGGGGTCCCGAATAACAATCTTGGTGGGGGTGACCGGAATGCTTCGCCCGGGCGACAGGTGGAAGATCAATACCAAATCTACGACATGTTTGTGGCTAACAGAAAAGGCCCGATGGTCCAAATGAGAAAGAGGCAGTGTTAAAGTTTGGTAAGCCAGGGTCAATCAAGAGGCGGCAGTGTGCATCTGCAGCTGAGGCTGAAAATACAGTAGTTGGTGGGAGAGCGCAGCCACGTCATTTGGTACAGCGATACGACCTGGCAGGCCGCATATCGGCTTCTTTCAGTAATTCAACAGCAAATATTTACATTTGAAACCTTACGCATCTCGTGTTGACTATGTTCAGCTGGTGAGATGATTGCCAGCATTGGTCATGGCGTCTCAACGTCAGTTACCACCCCGTCGCGGGGATGCAACTAATTCTACGGCCATTCCTCATAACCTCTCCCGTCATTGATGTAGTATTGAGCTGCCTTCGCATTGGCAATTGTTTCTTCTCTCCAGCACAGCTGTGCACGTGCCGTCTGCGCTGCGCCATGGCAACAATTTTGGCCCCCAATAGTCTCCCGCCCGCTACCACCGCCAACCCACACAAGGCAACGGCAAGCGAATGTCCAAAGCCATGCTGCTGCAAGCCGCGTATTTAGCACCGCCTACTTCGCATTGCCTAACTATAGCGTTCCAGACATGTGACCGCAGCTTGCTGAAGCCCTAATTCTCCGTCTCATTCTCTCCCTTGATTGGTTATTCTTCTACTGTTACCCAGCACCGGTCACGGCTGAGCACTTTGCACTAACATCAGACACGGGAAACCCCAGGCTGATTCACCGGCTCACAAGGTCACAGCTCTGCCAAAGTAACAAACACTGCCATCTCAAAGCTCCTCCAGAGATATTTGCACGCGCTGTTTGGTGTTATGAGACAGGACTGACGGGTGCATCGTACACGTTGCAAAGCATCTTCAGCCGCATACATTGCGTGTCCGAATTGTTGCTCCTCTCCTTTTCTGCTCTTCCTTTCTTCACCAGCCTCACGCTCGCTATTAATTTGGGCTGCCAAACATTCAATGCACGAATCGCCATATTAGACCACATTTGGGTTCCACAGGACGCTGATCGCAGCCATGGCCCATGTACCACCTGCCCTCCAGATTGGCTCCCCTGTCAAAGATAGAAGGCAGTCAGAATATGCGGTTCCCTCTGCTTTGCGCATTGGCTCCCCCATAACTGAAGGTCCCACGCCGCCTCACGCTCGTCCACCACTCACACGTCAGACCAGTTCTGGCTCATCAAATAGGATTTCTCAACTCTTCCCATCACATACATCGTCAGATGCTTCGATTGCGCCTCCTAGCGTTATCTCTGACACAAAAAGGCAATCATTACCTTCATCTCTAGTGCCAGCTTCCAGGATATCGTACAGCAACCCTTCTACTGTCCCACCTCCTATATCTCAGTCGCTTGTATTCACGGAAGAAACCTCATACGACCCTCTTGCAACTATATTTAATCAAGAAAAAGCCGTTCCCCCAGTGGACAAGAGCAATGGCAGGGCTCGAAGAGTGTTGGACCGATTCACATCGCTGAATAAAGGCTCTTTTGGGAGGGGTCATTACAATCGACTGGATGATGAAGAGGCAATACCTTCGAGGGGCAGACCCAAAGACATCGAAGAGGAGGATGAAGCGGTCGGGTATGACTTGAGTTCTCTGGGAGGGCCGTCAATGAAGATGTATGAAGCGCAGTCGACTGGGTATGGGAAATCTGAAACAAACACAAAGGCTCGGGGGCTGGATGAAGCCAGTCACGCTGCAGAATTTGAGAGTCTAGAGGCGCATCTAGGCGCAGGCATGACATCTATATTCCACAAACCGTTTACCCATACTCCCGCGGAACCAATACCAGGATCGTTTCCAGGACATAGACGAATACTATCGGCAGAAGAGGTAGCAGATGAGGAGGCCAAAAAGGCACAAGTCGAAGCTGAGAAAACTGGACAAGTAGTCGCAGTCACCACAGACGTGCCCATTGATATCAGCGATTTTGCGGGTATCGCACGAGACTTTGAATCGATGAGGAGTCTCACAGCTGAAGCTGGTCTTGTCCGCAACGGGGCAGAAACTAGTTATTTCTTCCCAGAAGGTAAGATTCCACGCGTGCTCGCAAATCTTTTAATTTAACACGAGAGAAGATCCACAGATGCCAAATTGGCGCCCTACTACCATGAGCCAGTTGTGGCTACTGATGCTGATCATTATTGCACTCGCGCTCGCAAGCATACAAGAATACCTTTGTCAGACTTCTTTGAACGAAGTCGAGAAAGACCCCGAAAAGGGCGGCTTGGCACGATTCAGAAGAGTAGGAGATATGGACATCACCATATACTTTGCATGGCAGTACGCACCGATTATGATCTTGGTATTCTACGGCGTACTCTGGCAAATGTCGGACTTTGAAGTAAAACGCCTGGAGCCATTCTACCAGCTATCCAAGAAGACCGGAGCGACTGCAGGGGAGTCGCTGAATATGGACTACTTAACATTTATGAGCTGGCTAGTGCCGCTCAGAGCCCTTCACCACAGACAGTATGCTGTCATCTACAGCTCACTGGGCACTCTGGTTGCTAGTAGCCTTGTTCCTGTCCTACAATCTGCATCCATGTCGATGTATCCATCCATCAAGGACCGCCAGACCGAAGGATGGAAGTCTATCAGAGTGGAGCCAGTCTGGTCCAGGGCTGTATCAGCATGTCTCCTTCTAGTGGCCTGCTGCGGTGGGGCATTAATGTACGCTATGCGGCGGAAAAGCGGATTGCAATCGGATCCCAAGGGCATTGCGGGCATCGCAGCTATGGCTACCAAGAGTCATATTCTTGCCGACTTCAAAGGACTGGATACCGCACCCCTGGATCAAATCCACAAGAAACTTCGCACTCGGAGATACATTCTGCACAAGAGCTCACTCTGGCAGGGTGAATACATCAGAGACAACAAGGAAAAGATACACGAGCATGGTTCTGATCCCAGGCCGCTCATGCTACGATACCGATCTGGCATTCCCTTCATCATCTTGCTCATCGCCTTCACTGCGGTCATCCCTGCCTTCACTTTCGTCGAAGATCTAGGCGTCATAATAGAGAAATTCCCTTGGGTCATGACCGGTCTAGCAACGATGATCCGAATACTCTGGAACACCATGAACTGTGATGTCCGCATGTTGCAACCTTTCTACATCCTTTCTCTCCGCCACGCCCCAGCCAAAACCCTCACCCTCGACTACGCCGGCACAAACCCGCTCTGGCTCCCCTTCAAAGCCTTCATCAACCGCCACTACCTCGTCATGGCCGTCGCCATCGGCTCCGTCCTCGCCGAAGTCCTCACCGTCTGCGTCTCCTCCATCAGCGTCGACGGCAAGAAATTCATCCCAGGCCTCGGCGGCCAAAACTGGGACGACAACAAAGACGGCAACAACAGCGACCCGCACGACCGCTACAACACCGAGCAAACCTTTCGCAGTTTCTGGACCAGCTTCGCACTCACCATGTTCATCCTACTGTACCTCATCACCATCGCATGCCTCACGTATCTCAAGCGCAGCCAGAAATTCATGCCGCGCCAGATCGGCACCATGGCAAGCGTGCTAGCCTACATCCACCAATCCAAGATGCTCTTCAACTTCATCGACACGGAGAAATTCACTTCGGCGGAAATGACGCACCACCTCGAGAAAACAGGTAAGACGTACGCGCTAGGCTGGTTTCGAGGCCGCGACGGCGAAGATCACCTCGGCGTCGATGAGGAGGAGATCCACAGTGCCTATGTGTACGGCAAGGATTGGACAGAGGGTAGACTGAGGCCAGGCAGGGATCACACATGGGAGCATTATTAGTTGGAACTTCGAACAGAAAGCCAGCCCCCCACGCAATGTCAGGATGAAGTAAGCAGTGAGCATACATATATTGTTGGCACATCGGCATCGCATCCAGCCCCCCTGTGATTACAACTACTCGATTTGGTAAACTTTCCATATTAGGTTCAACCCTTTGACATTTGGGATTCAATACAAACCAAAGCCAAACTTCGCAGCAGCTAAAAAAACTCCCTGTTCCTCTTTCTTGTATCCTTGCGCCCCAAACGCCCGCATGTGATGCTGGTAAATAGCCTGTGGGAACACGTATGCTGCCGCGTAATCTACATACGCTTCTCGGTTGTGCCCGAATTGCGTGTGGATATCTTAGCCCTTTTTTTCCTTCCATGTTGATTGAAAATTCACTTGTTTCAACTCTGGCCGTCTCCCACGTTGCTCACCAACCAGTCCATGCCTTCCTGCACACCGCTTCCATCCACAGCGCTACACGCGACAATGCTCCAATTTCTATCCTTGAGCTCGCCCAGCCGTAGCGCCTCGCTGATCTCGCCTGCACCTTTTGCGCCAGGCTGATCCTGTTTGTTCGCGAAGACGAGGAGCGCGGCGTCGCGCAGTTCCTCCTCGTTGAGCATAGCACGCAGTTCTTCCGAGGCGGTGGTGAGACGCTCGATGTCGGTACTGTCGATGACGAAGATCACGGCGGCGGTGTTGGCGTAGTAGCAGCGCCAATAGGGGCGGATCGAGGTTTGGCCTCCCAAGTCCTAAGAGTCCTTGTTAGAAGGTCGTCATAGGTGATGTAAACAGAAAGATTCTGGGAGTTACATACCCAGACATTGAAGTTCAGGTTCTTGTATGTTACTGATTCCACGTTGAAACCTATCGTTGGTATCGTTGTGACTACTTCTCCTATCTGTTGTCATCCATTAGTGTATGCTCTGGTTCATGGTGGCATGTCATGTCTAGAATTGACTGCCTTCCCCTCCCTATTGCATTATCAGGCGATGCGTACCTTCAATCTGTATAGTAATGTCGTCTTGCCAGCGTTGTCCTGCATTTGTAATCAGCGCTGTGAACGCCTTGCAGCGGGCACAAGACTCCTCACAAGTCCAAGGATCAATATCCGTATCTCCTTCTTCGCCCATATAAGCTTCGTAAACGTTGATAAGTAGCCACCCATTGTGTTCTCCCTGTGCCCGATCCGCCGCTATTTGTATATGTGTATGGGGTTTGCCGTCGCCGAGGCTGTTTCAAGGAAGAGGGCGCGGCTATGAATATTCGAAGAAACAGTTTGTTGAATGGAGGCTTTGGATAACGTGCTTGGAAATGATCTAAGTCGTTGCAGTACGTTCAAAAGAATGCTGGTCGTGTCTTGATACTGTTGTCTGGCCAGAGTTGGCCATCGAAGATGCAAACAGGACAAACACCTAGGCCTGTCGGCGGTTAGTTTTGCCGATCCATGCCTTTCCCACCTCCTTGAATCACGTGATCAGACTGCACTTGTCTCATAGAGACGGAACCGAGCCAGCTGCGTCTCGGAACCTGTAGGAGAATGAACACTGTGAATATCTATCACATTTTTCTGGCAATATATGTGCTCTAGCTCATTGAGCCCTTATAGATACGATCCCACGTGATCTAAGTTAGAGGAGTGTGAATGGCTTGTATAAGAGTTCGCTAGATCTGGCTATATAGACAATGCATCTGATGAATGTTTCAGAAATTTTGTTTTTCTCAAATTTGTGAATACTTGGTACATATAGAGAGACCCTGATGTTCGGAAAAATATAGGATGACTTGGCAAGACCAAGGTTTGCATTCGTAGTCTCTCCTTGAAAACCCCAAAGACATCTAATACATATGCTGAAAGCTCTCAAGTGGCGTGCAAGTCTTTATCGTCACATCCTTCAGCTATTTGTTTCCATATATATCTTATAGTGGGAATTCATGCTGATGACACGTGAGTCTGAGTTGATAGTTGTGGATAAAAACTACTCGTGTTAAAAGAAGAGAGCTCACATTCACTCAGAGGAGAAAATAAATACATGAAAACTATGGACCAAGGCGTGAGCTTCGATTTGCCAACCATTTTTGACAAGAGGATTTTGGCATGAGTCGCAACTTCTATACACAAATATCCCATCTAAGAACGAAAGTCGGTGCTGTTACTCAATGCAATCGTATGTGGCAATACATCGGCTTTGAACGAAATCCACCTAGGCTAACCAGGGGACAGCAAAAGCACTTTGTTGTCGTACCACGGTTGTAGACCAATCGAACCAAAATTTGTCTTGGTTCCATTTGTGAACATTTAACATTACGACCAGCTCGACGGTTCGCCCCATGTCTTTCCTTCAATAGAATCACGAGATTACGTTTCCTTCTTCATATTTCTTGGTCAGGAATGGTGGAAAGATCAACGCGTGGCAACTTCCATTTGTGCATCGTAGCATTCGATGGTTGAAAGACAAAAAATGCGATCGATCTGTCATAATTACAGAAATTTTGTTATCTTCAGAGCAGTATTTGGCACTGCCCTTAAAAACGCTTGTGCTGCTTGAACACAAATCCTCTCCACTTTTTTCATCAGTCTCTTTTGAACCAACTTCTTCACTCACAGCCACACGAACCTTGTTCCATAACATGATGTCATATTTCCTTTCTATACTGGAGGAGGCCAGGGGAGAGACATCCAATAGTCACAAAGCGACCCCTGCGTCCATTACTCCCAGGATAAATATTGTAAGGTTGACAAAAGGGGTTCCGCGGACCCAGGCAAACATGGGACCGAAAGACAGTTGTGATACCGATTTTGGACACTCACGGAAATCTGTCACTCCACCTAAATCTAGTCGTGACAGCAACAAACAGCAGATCTAAACCCAAAAGCGCCTTCCTCCCGCCAATAAGAAGAAAAAGATGTCTATGAAGAGGAGGAAGACCCCAAGCTCCAATAAAACCAGTTGTGGGAAGACTAGTAAGAACCAGAAACCCTCTTCAACAACCAGTGCCTCCCGTATCATCAGAGCCAAGAACAAAATGGTAACGGTCTCACGAGCCAAGCAAAACCTCGACCACGATTCCGAGGAACAAGATGTGGAAGACGATTTCGTCGTCGAAGACATGGCATATAACCCTCAGAAATCGAAGGTCGGCGCAATGGCCCGTTCAAAACTCTTTACAGGAATGAAGTAGTCCGTATAGGTACGAAATTATCGCTAGCTCTAGGATATCTGCATCTACAAAACACGCAAAAATTCAACAACAAAAGTCTAAAAGTCTAAACTCCTCTGCATCCCTCACACCAACGACAATGTCAACTGAACCAAATCCATCTCCGTCACATCCCTCCTCCGCACCTCAAGCTTCGCCACGGGATCGGCCATTTTATACACACCCATCTGTACTGTGTTCGACTGGTACCCCTTCGCCATCCTAATCTCATACTTTAGCAATATATGCGCCATCGCAAGCTTCAATTCATTACTGGCGAAATAGCGTCCGGGGCAAGTATGGCGTCCACCACCGAAAACGTTGTAATCCGGGCCAGACTGAACGAACTGAGCGAACTTGTCGCCTACCTCGCGTTGGCGCAGGAAACGGTACCCGTCAAAGTGATCCGGGCTGGGGTATTTGGTGGGGCTACGGAGATCGGTGCAGTCAACCATGATGTGGGAGCCGCGTGGGAGATGTTCGCCGGTGGGGAGGGTTGTGTCTTTGAGGGCTACGCGCTCGAGAGCCACTGTGGAGTGTGTGTTAGTATGGATGGAAAAGAGAGGGTGGGTAGGGGAAATAAGTACCTATAGGAGCTGAAAGTCTCTGAGATTCTTTCAGGACGCTGTCGAGAAGGACCATGTTGTTTGTTGCAGCGATGGTCATACCGTGGGTAGAAATCTGTTGCGAGACTTCCTTCCTTAGGGGCTCGACGAGCTCAGGGTGCGATGCAACATCGATAAGGACCTGGCGGAACTGTTCGCTTGTAGTGAAGAACGCAGCCACTGCCAGTGACAATTGTATGTCGCCGGCGTCTGCTTTGTAGCCTGGCGCTGCTTGTGCCCATGCAAGCGCATCGTTGTATTGCGGGAGAGGCTCGCCTTTGCGCTTCGCCTCCTCGACTTTCTTTTCCCGTTGGTTAATGAGATCCTTCACAATAACGCGAGCTTGCGCGACATATTTCCGACAAGCAACGGCGTTGGGGAGAAACCTCTGCACAATGCGTCTGGACCAGGCCGGGTACTCATGCAGCTCATTAACAGCCGTAAAATACGCGCCGACGTAGCCTTGTGCGATACCCAACCACTCTTCGTCTTCACACTTCTCCGGACCAACAAAAACTGATGACGCCGCGCGCGCAATGATACCAGTTGTGTCTCTCTGCCAGTCAATGACATGCCAGTTCATATCGTCCCCCCAATAAATTCGTAGCGCCTTTGCTATACTGTCATTCACGACTGGCATGACACTATCGTTCTGGCCTAGCTTCGTGCGAATCACATCCAGAAGCACATCTCCAGACGAATGCAACGCATGCTGTGCTTCGAACCCAGGGAATCCAGCGTAGAAATCTTGTCTGGCGAGCTCCCTGTGGTCGAGGTCTTTGTTTGATTTCACCCAAGCGGTAAGTGACGCCGGAAGAACGATTTTCTGGCCACTCGGGACGGAGAGGGAGATTGGGCCTTGGTGTTTTGCGAGTCCGTTGGTGATCAACGACTCGGCGTTGGTACCATACTCTTGGTGCGCTTTTTGCGAAAGGGGGTCGAAGGGAAAATTGTTGACGGCGGGGAAGTTTGAGCGACGTCTTGAACGGAATAGAAACGTGATGATTGGAATAATGAAGACACCCCATATGCGGATGTCAGAAAGAAATTCTAGTAACATATTGGCGCTGTGTACAGTGAATTTTGTGAAAATGAATGAGATAGTTGATATTGGATATTTAAAGTATGATATCGAAAGCATTATATGTCCAAGTTGGAGGCTTAAGAAGCTGTAGAGTTACTGTTATTTACTCAAAATGAGTCATTATGAGCACCGCCGGGTGAAACAAGGAATAAATTGTATAGCTATAGAAAAAGACAATTAAGAAGAATATGATTCTAGCTACATATTGCTGCAAACACTATAAGATCTAAATACTAGTTCTTTCTGTTTCTTGATTGAAGAGGGAAACCTATTTCATTCTCTCTCCATCTGACATGCGGGGGATTTTAGTGTACTAACTACATAAGAAGCTAACCTAAAGGGGAATGAGTGGAGGTCTAGTATCTTGGCATAAATCACACAATAAACAACAGCAGGGGTTCTTGAGGCTATTTCGATCGCGCTACTTCGTCCAAGGAACAAACACCTAGGGGGTGTTTTTAAATACAACTAAAGATGCGATAGATTCTTCAGTAGACAGTGCCTAAACGGCCCAAAGTTAATTTCTCGATGCTATCGACTATCTTGACCATTTGCTTCTTAATCTTTACCTGCTCGGTTGCCAAGCTCAGTGGCATTTTCCGCATAAGTGACCGAATGTTTTCGCTGTTCCTCTTTCAAACCCGCCTCCACGTTCATCCTCCGTCGTTCGGCCGACACATCTCCAAACAAAATATCAATTTCCTCCAGACTCTTGCCCTTGGTCTCCTTGATGAAGAAGGTAGCAAAGATACTCATAGCAAGGCAGAAAATTCCAAACATAAGGAATGTTCGCCATCCAATACTATTGACTGCAGCTGGAGTGATTTTGGTAATCACAAAATTGAAGAGCCATTGAGTTGCAGCGCCCATTCCGACACCATAGGAACGGAGGCGTGTAGGAAAGATCTCAGAGAGATAGACCCATGGAACCGGGCCCCAGGAAGCTGAGTAACCGATGACATACAAGTAGATCATGGCTGCCATGGCCATAGATGCCGAGCTTACAGTAGACGATGAGGGGTTAGGTGGGTGGGTTGCCAGTACTGCTCCAATGATGAACATCATGGATGACATCCATACCGCACCAGCCATGAGAGATTTCTTGCGGCCCAGGAAGTCGATACCGACGAGGAGGAAAATCCCCGTAGTGATGACCTTGACAGTGCCGTATATGCCAGTTGCGAACAGGGATGCATTGGAGGCAGATACACCGATAGCTTGGAAGATTTGGGGCGCGTAGTAACCTAGATGATGTGAGTTGGATTTCTTCCAATCTATGAAATATGAATACGCTGGTAAACAGGTAACCCCTACTCAGATGTATGGTAGAGGTAGGGCCTTATGTAATCTCTACCCTATCCTACCTTTACCCATTTACCACTGTACATATGAAAGACTTACCAATCGAGTTTGTGCCGCTAAACTGTTGCCAAAACATGAGAACGAAACCAGTGATGAACCGGTATCTATTCCCAGGGAGAAGGCACTCTTTCCAGGTAATTCCTTCGGTCTGGTTTAGCTCTTCTTCCACAGCAGCACGGATCTCTGCCAACTCCTGCTGTAACTCCGGACTGTCGGGCGTATCGCAGCGAATGAAGCAAAGAGACTCAACAGCCTCCTCATGTCGGCCCTTTGACATCAGCCAACGGGGAGATTCCTTCAAGAAGAAAAGTCCGAGCAGCATGAAGCCTCCAGGAATAAGCTGGATAGCAACAGGAACCCTCCATTGCTTGGTTTCGCTTGGCATATGTAGATTCACACCGTATCCAAGCCAGTAAGCAAACGTGCTACCAATGACGAGGAACTCCTGGAAGAGACCTGCTATCCGTCCACGAACAGCCGGGGGCGCGCTCTCAGAAACAAAGACTGGCGTGATGGAAGACATACCACCGATGCCGAGACCAGCAATGACGCGACCACCGTAGATCAGCCCAATCTCATGATGAGCACCAGTCTGGAGCGCAGCGCCTATCAGAAAGATCACAGACAAGCCCATGAGAGAGTATCGTCGGCCGAAACGCTCGTTGAGCCATGCTGCTCCTATGGCGCCGAAGAAGCATCCTGCTGTTAACAGCGACACTGCATTAGAAGAAACTTCGGCGTTCTTGGAGTCAGCAAAGCCAGATTTTTCGGTCGGCAGTCCAAAGTCCCTTTTAAAGGATTTGAGCGCCATAACGCTGCCCATAACCCCGGTGTCATATCCTGTGGCGAATTAGCTCTAATGTTCAGTGAAACAAGAACTGCGTGCATACCGAAGAGCAGCGAGCCCATGTAGGCAACGCCGGTTAACAGATAGACTCTGCGGTTCTTGAAGAAAGTGGACGTCATTTTGTCGTTGGGTTTGCTGACTTGCCTGCCTTTGAGGAGGGCGAGCGAAGCCCTTCTATAGCAAAGACCAAAAGCTAATAAGGTGGCACCACCGGCAATCCTGTGTCCGGAGGTTGCATCACTATCTTCTGTAGGAGTCCTCCCGACCCCACACTTCACTTGCTGTAGCTATTGGGGACAGTAGTGCGTGGGCAGACCCAGTTTTCTTTTCTTCCACCAGTCGTCTGCTATCGTTTGTGGTGGCTCAAGGTCAGCTTCACGTTGTCTTTCGTCATCTCGTGCATAGATGAGCATTTTGGTGTATTGCAAGCATGCTCATGGTCGTTTCTGATATTCAGTCATGCTATAAAATTTGAAATAACACAGACAAGCCTCCCGCCATGTCTTGCCGGAGCGCCGCAATGCTTGGTGCTGCACGGCGGATGCACGTGCGGAGCCTAGTGCGTGGTGCTTAGTGGTGGCCTTTCTGCCCAACGGATAAATAGAGGGATCGCTGGCAGGTATTGCCTCGGGCTCCGAGAGTCATGAAAGCGTGAGATGAAACACACATATAGATGAATGTCGATGCTCTGTGCAACGTTAAGAGTTCTATTAATTCCTTATTTGTTTCTGAAACTCACCGCAGCATGGCATGTGGTTTGCCCGGTTCCGAGGCTACACCGACCCTACAAGTGGCGACGGCGTGTCCAGAGTCGTTGGGTGCTGGCGTTGAGCTCTCGTTGGGTGAAAAAGTCACTGCAATCGATGCTTGAGACTGGTTGCCCAAACAGGAAATAAAGTCTTGGGGCTCTCAGTTGCTTTCACTAGGTCCACGTTCGTCTGACCAGCATGACTCCTTAAAGTCAAAATATCCACATTAGACGACGCACGCCAAGCCCCCACGTTGACACTGTTTTGTATCTGCAAGTATGGCGAGTTCCTTGGCATGTATTTGTCTTCTGAATTATAAAGTTTGTTGATAGCATTGGGTTGGTAGCAAACCCTCGTTGATGTCTATCTAGAGTTGAAAGAACATCGTTCAGTAGCGAGGTAGTCAATGACGACATATATTTTCCGTCAATATAGCGACCGGAGCTGGCATGAAGCTCAATGCTGACGACGAAAAAGGTAGATCAATGTTCACGATAAGCGGCTCAAAGTTGAGATACAAGTCGAAAGTGATCTCGTGGAGTAGCCCCGAATATACACAAACACGGAAATGGCTACGACTAGTTAGTAGTAGTAATATTCCACCTACTTACATTCTAGTCCTTCATAGTTTCTCATCATTGCACAGTTTACTCCGCCAGATAAGATACAACCCAAGACCCAATCCCCAATCTTTCTACGCATTTCAATCACAAAAACATCTCATCTCTCTAATCCCATAAGGTATCACACAATCTCAGGTAGTTTAAACGCGATATCGGAACTCCAATCCCCATCACCCTTAAAGAAACACCGGAGTAACAAATCCACTCCGACCTGCATTAACCCAGCCAACCACATTCCGCGGGGCACCCTCGTCACCACCAACTGCAAAGAGAAAACCGGGCGTCCCACTAGTCATTCCTTCCAAGCGATAGGGCGCACATAATGCAGGTTGCACAACCGCCCGCCACGTCTTGATTACCCGTTTGTCGCAATCCCGTCGTCAACGAGGCTCCCGTTGTCGTAAACTGCCAAGACGTCCGCTCTGGGCTGGATACAGTATAAGATGTGCGGATTGCCGCGCTCCGCCGTTGTAAGATTGGCAACGGGTCTGCAAGATAAGTCGGTGACATGTAAATTTTATATAGGTGAATTTTTTTTCATGTGATAGACTACCTACGCAGAGTTAGTTACACGACAACTTTTTTTCTTTATGTGGTTTTGGTTCGCGCTGTCGCAGAGACTTGACGCAATTTGTACCTTTTATTCCACCTTCTTATCTGTTTACGATTTTGAACTACCGGCGCGACCTAAGAGCAAGGAAAAAGTATCTGGTCGTCCTGAGAAGTCGCAATGGATCCAATCGCAAGTCCAACAAGCCAGACAAACGCCCTTCCGACACTCAGCACCAACAAACCATCAGTATCACCAGAAGAAATCCATACCCCACTACAAAACACAGACCCGAAAATGAAATCCCACCCAACACACCAAGACACCGAAAAACCCTCCCAAAGCTACGATGCAGAACTCCCCTCTCACCCAACAGACCCCGAACCCGGCCTCCCCCTTACCTCTCCCAATACGAATTCCGAACCCCCTTTCCCCGAAGGCGGTCTCCGCGCCTGGCTCGTCGTCCTCTCCGCCTTCCTCATGCTCTTCCCCTCCTTCGGCCTGCAAGTCTCCATCGGTACCTTGCAAGACCACTGGTCGCAGCACCAACTCTCCTCCATGTCCTCTCGAGACATCGGCTGGATACCCTCCGTATTCGTCTATCTCTCCCTCGCCCTGGGTATCTGGGTGGGACCCTTATTCGACCGGTATGGTCCCCGCTGGATTGCGCTGGGCGGCAGCGCCGCGTTCATTGCCATGGTGTTTCTCTTAGCGGAGTGTACAAAGTTTTGGCAGATGCTGCTTTGTTGTGGTGTGCTAGGCGGGTTTTCTTGTGCGGCGCTTACGACGACGAGTTTGGCGGTTGTGGCGCATTGGTTTAAGGAGAGGAGGGGGTTGGCGCAGGGGGTGGCCATGATGGGGAGTTCCGGGGGTGGATTGGCGATTCCACTTGTGCTGAGGACGACGCTGCCAAAGTACGGGTATGCGTGGTCGTTGAGAATACTGGGGTTTGTGTTTCTTGGGTGTTTTGTGGCGGCGAATGGATTGATGAAGGCAAGGATTCCGCCGTCAGCGGCGGCGAAGAAGAAGGCGATTATCTCGCCATCGATTTATGGGGATTTGAGACTGAGCTTGTTTACGCTGAGTGTATTTGGGTTTGAGGTTGTGTTGTTTGGGGGGTTGGGGATTTTGCCGACGTATGCGACAAGGAGTACCGATTTCCCGCCTGATACTGGATTCTATCTCATTGCGGTGCTCAATGGAGTCTCTTGTCTTGGACGCTTGCTCCCGGGGTACGTTGCGGATAAGATTGGGAGGTTTAATACGCTCTTCATCATGATAGTCTTCACGCTATTGTGGATGCTAGTTCTTTGGTTGCCTCTTGGAACCACATCACTGCCGGCACTATATGCTTATACAGCCCTCTTTGGATTCGGCACGGGTTCCTGGATGGCTCTGACACCTGCATGTGTTGGGCAGTTGTGCAGAGCAGAAGAGTTTGGCCGCTACTATGGGAGTATGTACTTCATAGCTTCTTTAGCAACCCTGGTCTGCATCCCGATTGGCGGTGAGCTTGTGGAGACGGTTGGACCTCAGCCCATGGTGGCCTTCTTTTGTGCAGTTCTTGGGTTGAGTTTGATTAGCTTTCTGTTCAGCAGGTGGGCTTGCGTGGGAAGGCAGTGGATATTGAAAGTGAAGGTATAGAATGGGGACTTGTGTTGGATAGAGCAAATATAGATTAGGCTGAAAAGGGCTCTTCGCTTCAGGGCACCTGTGCCGGCACGCAATAGAGACTGCAATTTAAAGTAATCTCGACAAACATACCACAATCTATATAATCTCCCCTTTGTGCTTTGTGAGTACGTTGCTTTCAAATTATCAAGATCCAAAATTTCCAAGTCTATGACAGGCTGAGGAAGCGTGGTTTTTAGTCTACTTAAAGTTGTATGTCTCCAATTAAACATGCGAAGTGACACCTTACTTACAGACTGTCCATCTTCATGGATGCGCGTAGTTAATATGTAAGCAATCACAGAAGCACCAGTCAAGCAGTAATACTTCATAGCATGCATTCGATATACCTTTTTAGCCTTGGAAACGCTTTCCCTTGTCCAATCCTCCCATAAAAAGCCGTAGACAAGAGTTTTATTATACAACAAGAGGACAAAAAAAGCGCTACTAGGATAGTAGACAAAAACAGACCGGATCCCAGAGCGCCACCATCCATTGCCATATCCATTTCCTTCCATTGCCGTTACTTCATTCAGTTTTTCTCAATTGTCGATATAGTCTGTTTTCGCTCACCAATTGACCGCAATGGAACACCACATCCAGCAGTATCCAAAATCTCAACGCGCATACCAAGAAATGCGTGCTTGGAATATCACCCCAGACTGCAAGACGAGAGTGTACTGGTGGATACTGAAGTATGGGCTGTAGTAAGGGTTTTGCTGTTTAAGCCTTGTTCCTGCCGCTTCGGCGTGGCGTACCGTCAGCAGTGGCAGCCTTCTTGGGCTCCTTCTTCTTTGCGGGTTCTTTCTTCTCCTTCTTGGGGCGGCCAGGCTTCTTAGCGGGTGTCTTGGTCTCGGTTTCCTCCTTGGCTTCAGCGTCACCATCGGCCTCGTCAGTCTTTGCCTTCTTTTCAGCAGGCTTCTCAACGTCAGCTTCAGCTTCAGCGCCGTTAGTCTTCTCGGAAGTCTCCCCGACCTTGCGCTTGTCGCCAGTCTTTGGGTCATCCTCCTTGTCGGCCTCGGACTTTTCGTCAGACTTTTCATCGGATTTCTCCTTTGATGCATCGTCCTTGGTATCTTCTTTTGTCTCCTTGGACTCTGCGTTCTTGGATTCGCCGTTGGTGTGAGCCTCTTCCTTCTTCTCCTCACTGTCAGGCGCGTCTTTCATTTCCTCGTCCTTCTTTTCGGATTCAGCCGGCTTAGCATCTTCCTTCTTCTCTGATTCAGCCGGCTTCTCTTCCGACTTCTCGGCGTCGTCCTTCTTGTCCTCCTGCTTGGAGTCGCCGTTGGTGCCCTCGGCCTTTTCATTGATCTGAAGCTCGGAGGCGCGCTTCACGACATCATTGCCTGACCTCTCAACGTGAACTGCAGGGTTCTCGGGGTCGGCATTCTTCTTGATCGTGTTGCCCTTGTTGGATTCAATGGCAAGCTCGCCCTGCTCCTTGACCTCGGCAACGGTGCCGCTGGGCTGTCCTGAACCCCAGTTCCATGAGACTGAAGAAAGACGCGTTAGCGATGATGTTGCACATTCTCAGCGAAGACATGATCGAGGCGACCGAGGCTGTATTAACGCGCCGGGATGCGCGAAGAGTGCGCGTGGGCGAGTGCAATGCGCCGAGCGGGATCTGACTATACGTAGTCGTGCCGGGCTTGATGATATGGGAACATCATGGGAAAAATGAGAGGCGCATACCTTTGTCTCCTTGTTGAATTTCAGTGTCAGTCATTGTGTGTAACGTGGGTTTGCAATCGCAGATGATATGGGATGACGTTATGCTTCGCGAAAGAGCCTTTGGCGTCGCAGAAGCAAGGTAGTGGGGGAGTTGACGCGCAGGGTGCTTTCAAAAATGATCTGAGATGTGGCGATGATGTACAAACAGTGATCAGAGACGCGACGTGTAGATGAAAGAGAAGACAGAAGAATGGGTGTCGGAGAATGAAGTGCTGGGAGGAGCGCTGCAAGATCGGTAGCTATGGCGGTAGGCTGTGATTGGCCAGACCGGGCCCACGCGTGTAGCATTTCATGGGGAAGGTGGCTGGCACGGCGTCATCGGCCAGTCTGTGCGGCGTTCGCATCGCGCAAAACACCCCGGCCCGTCTCAGAGTTTTACTGGATTTGTACAGAAGCGCATGTTCCAGAAGACCATGGAAGAAGGCCATATCCATTTCTACAAACAGACGTATCTACACAGTACGTATCATACAGGAAGGGAACATAATGCAGCTACCGAGATGCTCGTATCCATGATGCCCGGAGCATACTTCAGCGGGAACCTCATTGTCGTGTACCCAATCACGTCGCCCTCTATATCACCGAGCCCACAGCCCCTTGCTCCCCAGCGCAGCCGTTATTTCGCTCCTTCGCTGGCCGTGCTCATAGTCGAAAGCTTGGACAAGGCCGTTGAGATGACTTGCGGCAGCTAGAACAACCAGCACATGGAATATCTGGTGGCTGGAGCCCCAAATATCATATTTTCCTGGACTCCACTTCTCGGGCACTCTAGCCGCGTAGATGGCAGCACCACTGATGTACAAGACGCCCTGCAGCAAAATCCAGTCCAGTCCAATACTTCTTCGCAGGTGCTCGACTCCATACAATTGTATCCCATGCAGAACAGGGAACACAGCAGAGAGGCCCATGAGCACAAACATTAGAGCTCGAAAGGGGCGGAGCGCTGGCGTGCGAAATTTGGGATGTGTGGATACAATGGAAGTTCCCGCTGCCAACGTCGTGATCATGGCCCAGTATGTCTTCCTCAGCTCGGGTTCATCTCGGAAGGCATAATACAGCACTGGGACAAAGCTGCCCCAGATCAAGAAGACAATGCCTAGGTAGTCGAGCTTGTTGCCCCATACGGCTACCTCGTGCGAGTGATTTTGAATGGTGTGATATGTCCCGCTCATACCCAGACATGCCACTGCTCCGGCAAAGAAGCACCCAAACGCCCACACATCCTCTGTAGTTGCAGTCGCATAGCGTGGTCCCAACGTGAAGTACAGAGCGATGCCAGCCACAGCTGCCAGGAGAGCCCCGATGAGATGGGTATAGATGTTGACGGTTTCGTTGTGCAAATATCCAAGGCTCTTCCATGACTTGGAGTAAGAGTTTGACTGCGCTCTGTACCCGGTTTGAATGTAATGGTTATCTTGCTGCCATGGAGACAGCTCGTCCCATACTAATATCAGTTTTTCCTCTACCTTTTGCTCTATCTTCTTGCCGGCATCTGCGGCCTTTGAGGCTGCTTCCTTGACAGCGTTCATAATTGTAGTAGGAAGTGATCAAGGAAGAGATTAGGAGTTCGCTTGTTGTTAAGTCTGGTTGTCCAGAGGTGGAGGGTTTAATTGGCGTGAGGTGACATTGGAGGACTTGAGCCGACTGGTACGTACTGCCAGGGACCTTTGGCAAGCTATGCCACATCCAGTGAATCTTGCGAGCATCACACGTCGCCTTTTGACAATCACCAAAGGCTCAATAAGATTCCGGAGAATCAATGACATGGCATGTCTGCTACCACGCCGTCTCAGCGGGGTAGCGACGCGGTTCAAGTCGAGCTCGGGCGCGCTTGCCCCTCCATCACCTTGCCTCGATGGTGTCTACGCGACTGTCTTTATCCAAGCCCACCATGGCTCGTAATGCCTCTCAGCAACGATACAGGCCGATCTGGAAAACATCTCTTGGCCTAACTTGAACATTGCGCTTCTCGCATAACCACGTCAACCGCCTCCATGAAGTCCACCGACCCTGTCCGCCCAAGTAGCCGCCGCGCTGCATCAGGCGCATGGAACCGCCTCAAACCCGTCCGAGAAGACATGCTCGAGAGCTACGGGCTACCCAGCAAAGGCGAGACACGGTACCACATCCCTCTGCCTCGCCTGAATCAGCACACCCGCTGATTACGCAGACTCAACGATTTCAAGACGCAAGAAACCTACTTCAACCGCATCATCGAGCGCTACATGAAACTCTGCGCCCTCAACCGCGAGGAACTCGACCACCTCTTCGCTTCTGCAACCGACACAAAAAACAGCGAAGCAAGCTCCAAGCTCACCAGCTCCTTCTCATCCTTATCCCTCTCAAAACACGCGCCCCCAGAATACCAAAACACTAAATCTCAATCTCCTCCTACTACCACCCCCTCAATCCCACAAAAAGCCTTCGCACCCTCAATCCAAGAACTAGAAACAGTCCTCTCCTCCCTCCGCAAACTCCGCGAAGCAATCACCGCCTCAAGCCGCTCCGACTCCTTCACCCTGCGCGCCTACACATTCGCCATCCACGTCAGTATCCTCTGCCACGACTGGGCCTCGTACCTACCCTCCCTCCTCTCCCTCCTCAACATAATCCACCCACGGAACCCGCTCCCGCCCTCTACCCTCCACGAATTCGTCGGCCTCCTAATCCTCGACCAAGCATGTCGCCAATCAAATTTCTCGGGCGCCCGCCAGACGAAGCTGCAGTACGGGTACAAGGACTGGCGCGTCGAAGCCGTGCTGAGAGCTTTAGTTGCGGATGATTATGTAGGGTTTTGGCGTGTGCGAAGAGCGGTGGATGGGTATCAGCGGAGCGTTATGGAGTGGGCGGATGGCAATATGAGGGTGCATGCGCTCAAGTGTCTGGGAAAAGCGTATTTGAGTGCGGATCGCCCATTTGTGGAGAGGGCGACGGAGAGGCGGTGGGAGGAGCTGGTGCAGGAAGGGGTAGGGTGGGAATTGAGTGCGGATGGGGAAAAGGTGATTATTAAGAAGCCAAAGGGGGCGTGAGGTGTGGTGAATTGCGATGCAGTTGAAACGCGTGGATTGAGATGTATACCATTGCGTGATGCAAGCGTCCAACGGGGTATCATTACAGATCATTTTTACATCAATCATTCTTCCATCTCCTCGTCTTCATCGTCTTCGCCTTCCTCTCCCGCATCCGCAGCATCCTGCCAAACATCGTCATCCATGTCGTAATCCTCAAAATCCTCCATTTCTTCATCTTCCTCGCCTTCCTCCTCTTCTCCCTCAGCAGTCCCCCCCTTAGCTGCCTTCTCCTTCCTCTTCCTCTCGATATTCTCCCGCTGAATACGTCGTCTCTCTTCTTTTTCTTTATTCTTCTGCTGCCACCTCTTCTCCAGCTCCTGTTCCTCAGCTTTACTCTTGGTAATGAATTCATGCCAGAGGACCTTTCCGCCACATACATCTTCTTCGACTTTAGTAAGACGCAGCTTCATACGGGGGCCCAGCTCAATCAGCTTTACCGCACGCTTTTCGACGCGGGGCTTGGACCCGCGGGCGCGGGCGTGCGAGGTCTCGTCGCCAGCTTTGAGCTTTTCTTTTTCGCGACGTGAGAGCACTTTTTGGCGGACTGGGGCTGTGACTTCAACTTCGGCGTCTGTGTCTTGTTCTGTGTCCGAGGCGGATGTGTAGCCTGCTGCTGAGGGGTCGAGCATGTAGTCTGCGACGTCCTCGAGCTTGCCTAGGTTGGGAAGTGCGCTCTTCTTTCTTTCCCTGCTACCTACAAGCTTTTCGGCTGCATAGAGTCGCCTGATGGCTTTTGGTATTCCCACTTGCTTTGTTGTAATTGCATAGTGTCTCAGGCTAATATTGACGGATCCGGTATCCTCGGAGGGAGGCTCGCGGTTGAGGAGGAGAACTCGCTTGATTGAGTGAAGAGGGGTAGTGTGTGGTTGGATCGGTGGGAAAAGGCCTTGGAACATGTCCGTTACAAGCTTCTCGAGGTGCTTTGGCGGCGCTTTTTCTCCCAGCTTTTCTCTATCGCTATCACTTGTCAAGAAGTTGTTCATGACAAGTAATGGTGCGACCAAGTAGTCGCTTGCACCGGATCGCGGGCGCTTCATGGCTTTGATGATATCTTTGCAGAGAGAATAGTTTTCAACGCGGAAGTGGAGCGTAGGGCCTCGGGGAGTGCGGGCGAGTCGAAGGTTTGTGTTGCCGCTTTCTGATCTGGAGAAGAGAAGCAAATGGCTGACGCCGAGCGGACCGCACATGACGAGGTAATCCTACAAGTTGTTAGAGGTCAGGACAAAGACCGTGGGCTTTTGATGAAGCATACCTTGAGCTTGTTTGCACGTCGCTCCTTGAGCCTAATAGCAGTATCAGGCTCCAAGCAATGCCTGACATCATTGACAAGGTCTGAGATAGATTTTCCAACTCTAAGCTGTGTGAGTGGTTTGATTAAAGACTTTTGGCAGAACCCAACTCACTCTTGTGCACCAATCCGGATCACCATGGACTTGGGACCTGCAACAGGCTTTTTGGCAAGCTCCTTGTCCTTCGCCGACTGCTTCTTTCTCGCAGTTCCTCTTCCACGAGCCATTGCGACAGCTCAATCGTAGGTTTTCGGGCGGGTCTATAGCTTCAAAGTCGGCTTTTCCGAAATTCGACTCTGATTTCTGTATCACAATTCTTGAAAAGTGAACCAGGAACTGGCGCAGTAATAGGCGAAAGCGGGACTTGGGGTGTTCGACTGAAAGCAGCCGTTGATGTCGTGAAATCGGCTGCTCTGTCGCGACCGGTCGCGAACTGGAAACTTTTCTGTGGGTCTGGTCCGCTTCGCCAAGATTTCGGTGGTCCATGCATGCCATAGGCTAGCATCGACTTCAACTTTCGCACATCTTTCCTGGACTCTTTCTTCAGATCAAAATGCCTGGATTTGCGAAGAGAAAACGAACCGAAGACGCGCGCGTTGCGGCTGCGTCATCGTCAAAGAAAGCGCGACCGTCGA